TGCCCACTATAACCAGTTGCCCTATAATATTCTATGTGCCCAACATATAGTTTAGTACAGGGGTTCCCAAACTGTGGCTCGAGGACCACCATTCTGTGACAGCAGAGGCGGGGGGCGGGACTGGGGACCATGTATTTTTGTAAGCATTACTTGACTGGATGACTGCATGGCACAATTCAAAAAAAGTGCAAATTTGATGTACAGATGTGTTTCAGTTTGCGTATTGTTTCAGAAAGCGCAGCTTAGGTTGGTTCATCTTTAAATGCAAACCGAATCTAAATACTCCTGCATCCCTACCCATCAGTTCTCTGCCTGCAGTTACCCCTTGTGATGAATATTGCTTTGATCACAACTACCGTGACTCCAAAAACCGCACAGGAAAATGAGCCAAATGATGTACCTTCAAATATAAACTTACAAAAGGTTTCTCCCTGCCTGTCCTGCTGTGCTATACAATGTCACATCTTAGGAGTTCTACTTCCTGCGCTGTCTTGAGCATATGGAAGTGAGCAGATAAAGAATCCCTCAGCAGTAATAATAATAAAACCCCAGACATACAGGAAAAACAGACTTGCAAGATCTGAGAGATCAAAACTGGCTGGAAAACATGTATGTGTAAATTTTCAGCCACCAATATTCAATGCTACATCCTGTGATCTGGATGCTTTATGAGAAGAATTTATGCACCTGTTAGCTTGTTCCCTTCTAAGCACATATTTGCAGAGAGACAGAGGCGGGGAGAGATTTGGGAACAAGGTGTGGGTTAGATTGCTCCAGCCTATATTGGTTTGTGGTCAGGGATTTTAAAAGGACCTAGAATATTATGTTTGCCATACGATGTGGATGAGGCAGAACATTCAGGTGACTTGGAATCCTGCTCTGTTAAATTTGGAAAGTTCTCAACTAAGGCACACGAATGCACAGAGCCATTACACAAACACATATGTTAGAGCCTGATAAGGAACTAATCAAAAGCTGTTAATTTTACTAAGCAACCATGTTAAATTCTGCTTTCTTGACAATCCTCCGTGTTGTTGCAGTGTGCAAACGAGAGAAGCAGCAAGGACATGTTCTGCTCTGACAAAGGCAACCTCTGGGTAGCTCTAGATAGCTATTTGGTCCAGTGGTAGGCAACATGGTGCCCTCTAGTTGTTATTGAAGTACAGATCCCATAATTCCCAGCCCCCCTCCCCCACCTATCAGAAACCGGATCCTAGCCTGCACCCTGCTCTGGGAAATGGGGATGCAGGCTGGGACTTGCGCTGTGACAGGGGCGGAGCTGACAGAGCCGAAGGTGGGCTTCCCTCGGATCCACCCCTTTCCCATTTAAGCAGTGGGGCACTACCTGTTCCTTCCCTCACCAGCACTGACCCGGTGGTTTTGCCCACCTCATAGCAATTGTCACAACTGGTTGGGCATTGGGGCAATCATTTGTTTTGGATGGAGGGGAGGTTGTAGTCTCCACCTGCCCCTCCAAACGCTGGGGTATCCCATTAAAGCAGTGGTTCTCAACCTGCGGGTCCCCAGATGTTGTTGGACTACAACTCCCATCATCCCTGAGCTCTGGCCTTGCTAGCTAGGGGTGGTGGGAGTTGTAGTTCAACAACATCTGGGCACCCACAGGTTGAGAAAGGCTGCATTAAAGGGATCTGGGGGGAGTGGCCATGTAAGCCTGCCCGGGGGGGGGGGGCAGGGCTGAAGACACTTCCCCCAAGCAGCGGTCCCTGCAGAGGTAACCCTATTGGATGTAAGTCTTAGGAACCCTGCCTGGATTGACCACGCGTCACTTCCGGCGAGTGGGCCAGAAGTATTTAGACTGCCCCATGCCCAAGCCAAACCTCTTTCATCTGTATTCAATAAAGTTGTGGCCTGTTTCGACCCCAAACCAGTCTTATTGGTCTTTTATTTGTATGGGTTGGGGTATGGGGAGCCCGGCGCCTGGTCCCACAAGCTGTAATGCTATCTCCAGCCATGAAAGGGGTGGTGCTGCAGCACAGCACAGATCAGGCTGCAAGCTCCCTCCCACTGAAAGCTGCCCTGGTGGTGCAGGAAGCACAGCACCTGGGTCCCTCTCCCTGAGTCCCCTGGTTCAAGACCCCTGGTGCCCAACACTTGGTTCTGTTCCTCATTGCAATACACTTCAACATTTTTGCTGTCCTCCTGTTTACATCAGCAACAACAGAGCATTTGACCTATCAGCAGATCGCAAAGATGTGTAGAACTTATGCCTGAGCGTTTCTTCTAAATTAATGCAATATTTAACATTGTCAAAAGCTTTGCATTATATGAAAGATTATGGCATTACAAAGTCGACATGCTGCTGAAACACAATGCCTTTTACTATGGCAGATTAAAGTGACAGCTGTTATTGTGGTGACAATGTCTTCAGTTACACAAAGGGGAGCCTTCTCCAGTTCTTATCTTGAAACTTGAGCTCTTGCAATGCTGTTTCACTCCCATTATCTATTTCATACGGCGCCTCTGTCGTTTCTTTTATAATCCTTCTGCTATTTTTATTCATTTTATTTTTAGAACAAGGCAAGGAGTCTCAATCCCAAGGCTTAAGAGTGTTCTCATTAGAAATGTGAAGTGTGAAAAACTCGTAGCATAACCTAAATTTTTTCTACTGCCATAGCTTTCTGCATGCCAGTGTATCGCAGCAACTCCCAAGCACCTCCCACAAAAAACAGTTGTCTTCAAACACGAAAGTTGATCTATATATCCCCTCATCATGCTCAAATTTCTTGCTGTTCCCTATATGATATACTAAGTTCATTTGTTTCTTGTGATTTGTGGATCCCCTCATGCCATACTAGGGTCAGCTAAACCCGGTCCATTGCAAGCAACAAGCTACAAAGCCTTAATGTTCCTCAAACTTCATGTCAGGAGAGTGGAATTATAGTTATGGACAGAATACACAGTTAGGATTTCTTGTGAATGACACACTCTCCCCGCCCCCAGTTTTTAGTATACATTGTTAACTGAGAGGATACATTTGATTTGAAACGTGACTACAAACAATTGCCATTGTTGAACTATAGTGTATTAGTTTGTTGCATTGTTTAAACTCTTTATTTCTCCTAGTCCCTGATTTATGTCAGTGGATGCTGGACCATTAGGGCAACCAGGGCTTAGCACTACCAGGTGAAATGCTAACCAACTTTTTTTTTACATTTCCCCCCAAATCTCCAAGCCACGCTCTTTGCTGTGCCACACACATCCTTCCATAAACCATTTGAATTTACAGAGGCTCAGGGAGACATTTCTGCCAATCTCCCATTCTCCGCCCAATCAGTTCTCTGCACCATTCAGCCAACCTCAGCCCAAAAGCTCCTATGGCCAGCAGGTTACATGGACTTTGGCCCCAATGCTCTACCATGCTAGAACTAAATAATAATAATAATAATAATAATAATAATAATAATAATGTGCATTGCTTTGAAACGATTTGTTGGGTCTCTGGACTGTAATAAAGATTGATTGATGATGATAATGATGATGATGATGATAATGATAATAATAATAATAATATACCCCACCTATCTGGCTGGGTTTCCCCAGCCATTCTTAATATATACCCTAACATGTTCTGTTTTTATTTCTCTGACTTGCCCTGTCTCCATTCCCTGGACCTGCCGAGGGGCGTGAGGAGCTGCATTTTTGAATCTCTGACTTGACAGCTCTATTCCCATTAGGTAAAGGTAAAGGGATCCCTGACCATTAGGTCAAGTCGTGGCCGACTCTGGGGTTGCGGCGCTCATTTCGCTTTACTGACCGAGGGAGCCGGTGTACAGCTTCTGGGTCATGTGGCCAGCAGGACTAGCCGCTTCTGGCAAACCAGAGCAGCGCACGGAAACGCCGTTTACCTTCCCGCCAGAGCGGTACCTATTTATCTGCTTGCATTTTGATGTGCTTTCAAACTGCTAGGTTGGCAGGAGCTGGGACCGAGCAACGGGAGCTCACCCCTTCGCGGGCATTCGAACCACCGACCTTCTGATTGGCAAGTCCTAGGCTCTGTGGTTTAACCCACAGCGACACCCGCGTCCCAATTGCTGTTACCATTGCTGTTCCTCTAAAACTTGGGGGGGGGGGGCAGACCAGAGTTTCAGAGTCCACCGCAGGGATGTATGGCCCTTCCAGATGTTATTGGACTCCAGCTCGCATCAGCCCCAGCCGGCAACCTCTGGAAGGCCACAAGTGCCCCATCCTTGCCTGCCGCAAGGACCACACCTTTAAGAGTATCAGAAGAATGCAGAGACAAGGCCGAAATTGAAAAGAACCATCAGCGAAGGCCAAGCCTATTGGAGGTGCGATATTGCAAAGGGCCGCTGGGTGGCGCGCTTCCTCAATGGAAATGCATTCCCTCCCTCGGTTCTTTTCCATGTTTCTCCCTCCCTCCCCATAGAGATAGGAAATTTAGATACTGTATAGTTTTAGCTTCCGAGTTGACTTTGGACGCCTTTTTCTCCCTACATCTCCCACAAGGCGGAAGTGGCTGATGTCCATAGAAAATTCAGAGAAGTCTTGAGCTTTTGAGGTCGTGATTGGGGCAGCACTTCCAACCATATGAGGGGAAACTCCGATTAATAACAATAATAATAATTTTATTGTTTTTAACCCCGCTCATCTGGCTGGATTTGCCCAGCCACTCCAGCAAAATATAAAAAATATAATAAAATATCAGACACTAAAAACTTCCACGAACTTCAGATGTCTCCTAAATATTGTGTAATGTTTTTATCCACCTGACGGGAAGTCAGCAAATGTGTTTCTGCTGCTGCTGCCGCCGCCGTCACAGCTAGAGGCGGAAATCCTGAAAAAGTCATCGCAGCGATCACTCTTCACTTTTCCTAGCTCCACAGTCACACGGCTGCGCAGTCCTCCGCCGCCAGGAGTCTATGGTCTCTCGCGGCGATGGCGCCTGGGGCGCGTGCGCCGAGTCCCTTCCGCTCCTTTGGCGATGGCGCCTGGGGGCGGGGCCTCGCGGCAAGCGGGGCGGGGCCAGCCGTGGCCGAGAGCAGCCCGGGCGAAAGAGTCACGACGGGCCGCCATGGACTGGCCCGGGGAAGGAGAAGAGCCGGCCGCTGCGGAAGAGGCGGCGGGGGGCGGCGGCGGCCTGGAGCTGCTGGCCCGGCGGCAGCGCAAGGAGAAGCGCGAGCTGCAAGGTGAGGGAGCCGCCTGGGGCAGAGGGACCGAGGGAAGAGCAGGGAAGGCAGGCAGGCAGGCGCTGCTGCTGAGGGAGGGACCCCCATGAAAGGCGCGCTCGGTGGGGGCGGGAGCAGGGTTGCTAGGGAGCCAGGAAACGAGGGTTTGTGGGTGGGCGAGTTTCACTTAACGGGCTGCATATGCAGCGCCTACACTTTGGAACTCCCCGCCACTTGATACCGGGCGGGCGCCGTCTCGGTACCTGCTTTTCGGCGCCTGCTGAAAACTTCCTGGGAGGTTTCTAAGCAGAGGTTGGATGGCCATCCGTAAGGCAAGATGCAGCTGAGATTCCTGCATTGCAGGTGGTTAGACTAGATCAGTGGTTCCCAACCTTTTTTGGCCATGCCCCACCTAAGCATCTCTAAAATCCTGATGACACCCCACCCTCCCGTGACATACAATTCTTATTATTCAAAAAGTGAACTCCTATTCACGTGGAGGAAGCCTAAAAGGCCACTCACTGTTAATAACTCATTCTCAAATTGACCCCCTTAAATATCAAATTGACCCCCTTAAAAATCAAATCGACCCCCTTAAAAATCAGATTGACCCCTTGTAGGGCGTGTGCCCCACGTTGGGAACCACGGGACTAGATGATCCCTAGGGTGCCCTCCAACTCTGATTCTGTTATTTTTGTTGGGACAAGCCCACCTGGAAGCTTAGGAAGTTGCGGGAACCTTAATCTGCTTTCTCTTTTAAGTTTTGCACATTGCTAATTTTTCTATATTTCATTGTTTTGTCTCCTTGTGGTTTTTAAACATTACAATCAAGCGGTATATAAATTTTATGAAATGAATGAATAGAAGCAGGAGAAAGGCTTGTGGCACCTTCAAGACCTAACAGGGTCAGTGTATCTGGCAAAGTAAATGTATGCAGCTGCCCCATATAGCACGGGTTCTCTGGTCCATCCTAGAACAAATGCACAGGGCTGGTTTTGACCCTGGAAGGGGGGAAGCTTTGGGTAAGATGCCTTCCTTGGTTGGGTGGGCCTCCTCCCTCTGGAGCTGATGGTTCACCCAGAAGGAAAGGCCAAGGCAAGGGCTAGATCTTGCCCCACCTCCTCACTCTTGCCACTGCTCATGTGGTGAGCGCTGCCAGACAGGAGTTGCTGAGGACCAAGCAGAGTTGCTAGCTGACCCCCTGCAAGGATGTGGGTATCTGCAGGTGCCCAGTGATGCTGATGTTCTGATAATGTGGCCCTGCAAATACGACACCTTAAATATAAAACAGAAAAAAGATATGAGATGTGTTACGGCACGTGGGCTTTTGTAGGTTAGATCCTGCTTCATAGGATGAAATGGGCTCTTGTTCATGAACTTTAATGTGTTAGAAGAGAAATATATCCCATCTTTTAAGGAGGCACAAGCCTCTTGCAGCACAATCCTATTTGTGTCTCCTAAGAAATAAGTCCAGGTTGGTTCAGTGGGAGTCCTTGCAGCCTCAGGTCTGTAGCAAACACAGGTATGTGCTTTCTGAACCTGGTGTCGCCCAGTTTTTATTGTACTCCAACTCCCAGCCTGCATGACCAGCAGACAGGAGATTGAGAGACAATGGAATGCGCCTCCAGGGGTGAAGCCAAACCGCTGTGTTAGCAGCACCGAAGTGACCTCTCCGGAGCACAAGCCTGGGCAGTGTATGGAAAGCTGGATTTGTTATTGGGGGGCAAGTTCAGCTGCTACCGAAGATGTGATATGAAGCGTTGCTGGTGCCTTACATTTGCAAAATCATATTGCAAATCTTGGCATGGCAGTGGCTATGGAATCTGGAGCAAGTCCAGCTTGCAGCACAGGAGACAAGGAGGGAATCATGTTCCCTTGTTCTGACGCTGACCCCATTACTGGATCACATGCTGCCTGTTGACATTGCACCACAGTCCACGAGATGGGGTGCCAGTTTCCAAAGCCCACAAACAGTTTTTTGCTGTGGAGCCTCGATTAGCATTCATGACGCATTAGCAATTCCACAGATGTGTTCAGAGCACTTTCTGCAGTGGACCTCAAAGGTGGGGGAGCTGCAGCAGTGCTGGTGTTGCTGAGGTTAATGTGAGAAGCCTAAAACCAGGCTGGAAGGAGTCCAGGCTGTGGCTTCTTGTCTCATCCTGCATTGTCACAGCTCTCTTACTTAGCTTTGTGGTACCGGAAGGAGCATTCTGCATTGTAGGTTTTGTTATGTTTGCTAGGCCTAGTAGCAATTGTGAATATTCTTTGCTCCAGGGATAGGGAAACTGTGGCCATCAAGGTGGAGCTGAACTGCACCTTTCCATCAGCCCCAGCCAGCCAGTATGACCAGTGGTCCAGAAACACCTGCAGGGCCACAGGTTCCCCATCACTGTTTTACTTCACTGGGTAGTCTGAACACATCATCCAGATTAAATACATACCTATATATACACACATATACAGTTGTACGCTGTTGAGGAACGGAATCCGTTCTGGAAGTCCATTCAACTTCTGAAAATGTTTGAAAACCAAGGCGCGGCTTCCGATTGGCTGCAGGAGCTTCCTGCGCTCGATCGGAAACCATGGAAGCCACGTCAGACGTTTGGGTTGCAAAGAACGTTCGCAAACTGGAACACTCACTTCCAGGTTTGCGGCGATCGGGAGCCAAAACGTTCGACCCACAAGGCGTTCATCAACCAAGGTACATGTTTCAGTTGTACATGTTTCGGAGCATAGAACTTAACATGTGCATTTGTGTACTTTGAGAATTTTTTTGTAAAAAGCAACTAATAAATAATATTAAGCAAGACCAGATTTTATTTAGTTAGTTTTTTTTAAAAAATTGGCCTGTCCCTTCATAGTTCCAAACAGTTCATTGGATTTCATTCCAGCATTCCAGACTGGTTTCACCTTTTGAATGTGTTTGGAAGGCAGTGTTTTTGTTCCCTATTATGTTTAAGGTTCATGCACAATAAGCATTGTAGTTAATAGTTATGTGACTGAGGCAGGTCCCCCCCCCCCCCTGAAATAGATACTTTCTGCAATATGAGTTTACAGTGCAGTTACATTAGGCAGGCATATACATTGAAAGATGTTAAATGCATTTTTTTTCTGTTCAAGTGCAAGGACTTCTAGCTGTGCAGCAGAACTTCTCTTGTGTGCCCCTAACTTTGTTCTGCGGGTTCTCCCAACTCTCTGGAGCAGATTTGGGAGGGTGTCAGGCACACACAGGGAGAGAAGAGGGAGTTCTGTTGCACACATGGAATGAGTGCTTTGGATACGGCCTATTATGTCACACCTGCAGTGTAGTAATGTTAAACTTAATGATGGCCAGCTTTCCAATGATGAACAGTGACATGCATAATTGCTAGGCACTCACCAGTTGTCTCACTGATTTGTGCTTCTGCAGCCAAAATCCAAGGAATGAAAAATGCCGTTCCAAAGAATGACAAAAAGAGAAGAAAACAGCTGTCTGATGAGGTTGCCAAACTGGAGGCCGAGCTGGAACAGAAACACAAGGGGGAACTTAAGAAGCTAAAGGAGACACTAACTGAAGAGAATAAAGTACGTGTTGAGGGGCACTCCATTTTCAAAGCTCTGTTGGGATAATATCCACTGAAACTACATTTGGACGTTGTTTATTTCTAACTTGCTAAGGAATTGAGTTTCAATGCTGTGACACCTTTTTTTTTTCATTTTGGCCATGATAAATCTTATTTTGCCTTAAATGCACAGTGAGTGAATGATCGCTAAAAACATATCTGATTCTTGGAAGCTGCACTGTATAAAAGTAGATGAGTTGGGTTACTTCTGCGAAGCGCAATCATATGCTCAATAAATGTTTGTTGTTTATTTGCTGGCAAATGCTGATGTTGCACATTCTAGTTCCCAAGGCAAATCAATTTTGCTTGCTGGTGTCATCAAATGACAGCGGATGTCTAACTTGCTTTCCATAGTACCTGGGATACGGATTAGCTCTCTTTGTAGGTTGGGGAAGGATGTGGACTGCTATAATTTGACTGATAACAGCAGACAGGGAAACATAACCTAGCCAGCAGGCTGGATCCTCACCTCTCCCACCCTTAGCAGGCCAACTTTGACAGTGGACAAGGCTGCCCACCTGTCAATCATCTGGCATCATTATGTCAGGTGGTAACTCCAAATCAGCTGATCAGTGTCAATAGCAAGCCCCACTGGCTGTCAAATAAGTTTGCTGTCAATAAGCCCTACTTGCCAAGGAGCATTGGGGAGTGCCCTTTAAGCTCCAGATTGTTCCTCAGCAGCTGTTTCTTTGCCTGCCCTTCCTCTGATGTCACATATGATGTCAGGGGTTCACATGGCATGGGGTAGTAGTACCTTGCATTAGTACCTTGGGATGTTGGAATGGAAGGTGACTATTCTTCCTATACCAGACTTGCACAACACCAAGACTTCATGCAATTTGTACCGGTTTTCTGCATAATCCCTCTTCCTGCAGCTTATCTAGCCTACAGTATGAGACAGGAACCACATATTGTGCAGGCTAACAACTCTTGGTTTGCACCATCCTTAATGTCTTAAGCTTTAGTTTGGAGTCTGAGTGATACTTCTGGTGCGGTACATAACTTGCTTGTTGGGGCCACCAGAGAATGAGTATTAAATAGGTTGGGTGAGAAACTGTGGTATGAATGGTATGAATTGTTAAGGAACTGAAACTCCAGATGTATGCGCTATAACTTACCCTGAAAATTAGAGTGGCAAGTTCAAGAAACTAGTCACTACACATTTTACACAATTCTCATTTGTCATTTAGGAAGATGCTGCAGTTATAAATATTGCAAGACTGGAGCTTGAGGACATGGAACAGATTCAGCCTCCTAGAATAACAAAAGCACAGAAGAGGCGGGTAAGGTTCTTACGGATGTGAATATTGTCTTGATTAGACAGTGAGCAACATGCAGACCCAGGTGCTTCTGTGAGAGATCTGGTGTCCCCAGGGTGGCTCTGGGACCTGGTTTCAGCCCCGTGGCCCAGACAGAAGCAGTCACCAGCACAGATCAGGTAGAGAGGGGTTAGAGACCCCTTCATCTCATTGCATGTTATCCCATTAAGTCTCTTCTGGTCCTTCAAGCCTCTTTCATGTGTACCCACAATTGGCTACAGCTAACTAACCCCATCTTTGGAACTGGATTCCAAGAAATGCTCATGGTGACCTTTCTGAAAGGCAAACAATGTAACTGAAATCTCTGAATAAGTTTCAGTACTCCCCTTAACTTGTGCAACTTTATTGCTTTGCTTTTTTCACCATCCTATAGTAGAGTTGAGATGTGAATCACGGGCAACTGAGACCCCTTTTAATAAGCATATGATATTAGTTCATGATATGGGCAAATGTGACGTCGCAGTGCATTTTACTGTTTTCAAACCACAGGATAAAAAAGCAGCCATGGAAAAAGAAAGAGAAGAAAGAATTGCGGAAGCAGAGATAGAAAATTTAACAGGAGCTAGGCACCTTGAAAGTCAAAAACTTGCCCATAGTTTAGCCACGAGGCAATTAGAAATTAAGCAGATCCCATCTGATGGCCATTGCATGTACAGAGCTATTGAAGATCAGCTCAAGGAGCAGCAAAACTCCTGGACTGTTGCAACGCTTAGAAGTCAAACGGCAGAGTACATGAAAAGTCACGTGGATGACTTCCTACCATTTCTAACTAACCCAAATACAGGAGATCTGTACAGTCATGGTAAGTAAACTGCTTCCCCCACTGTGTGCATATTTCTGTCGTGAGTAGTGTCAGCTGTTACAGAGAAAATTGGTACCAAGTCTGTTTACCACGTATCAGTGGCACAGATGTGTTAATTAAACTGTAAGGACCCCAACAGCTGCAACCCAGTCTTACTTAGGCTGCTCAAAAGTTAGTCTTTCTGTGTTTATTGCATGTTTCCTTTAGGTAAATATGTACTGGACAGCAAACTTGTGTGCGTGTGTGTGAGTGGAATAGACCAGTTGCAACAAGATGTAAAGACATTACTTCCTATTACTACCCATGGCAGGAGAGGGGAACTTTTCGCCCTCCAGATGTTGCTGAACTACAGCTCCCATCAGCCCCAACAAACATAGCCAGTGGCCAGGGATGATGGGGGTTGACGTTCAGCAACATCTGGAGGGCCAAAGGATCCCACACCTGACTTGTGGCTCTAAGCACATCAGAGGGGCTGAGACTTTAAGACTATCTTAATGACTGTGACCTAAATCCAATACAGGGGTAAGCTTGCTTAAGCCCATTGAAACCAATGGACTTAAGCATGCTTAAAACTCTGCATTAGATTAAAGCTTTATTTGTTAAAGCTTTCCCCCACTAAACTGTCTCTGTCTAACCAAGGGAAACATCCCAAAGCAGAACCTCTGTGCAATCTAGGAGAAGCACAAACTATTACAGTAAACGTGTTTTTGGCAAATCTGTCCATACCTTTTATAATATTTATTGACTTTGTCATTTCACAGAACACTGCTTGGTCCTTTGCTCGTTTCTTTCCTTTTATCTGACAGGGCGGCATCTTTGCCTTCAGCCTGTTTCCTCTTTGCCTTGTGTATTACTATGCAAAGTTATGTTCTTCTGCATACTTTAATTGCCAACGTAAGCTTTCCTTTTTGGGCTGGCTCTGTTTTCCAACATTCAGATTAAAAATGGTGCACTTTCTCCCTCCAGAGGAATTTGAAAAATACTGCCATGATATAGCAAACACAGCTGCCTGGGGTGGCCAGTTGGAAGTAAGTATCATGCCCTGCTCTTTCCTAATATCTTAAATGCCAATGCTTGTTCGTTTTGAGTCTTTAGAATATTCCCAAATCTTCAAGAGAGGCTGAGAATCCTGTGACCCTTTCATTGTTTTTCTCAACTCCTGTCAGTCCCAGTCAGCATGGCCAGCGGTCAGGAAAGATGGGAGTCCAGTAACAGTTTTCCCTACCCTACTTTTACAATAAAGAAATGGCTTCAGGTTTAGGTAATTCTTACTGCAGAGATAATCAAGAGCATTTCTGTTCTGTTTATATGGTAGAAGAACAGTTCTACTTTGTAAAAGGTTTACTGCCATCATCTGGGCCCATTCATACCACATGCTATGCTGATTGTATCTGTCTAGCATACTGAGACCACTGTCATGTCAATATGAATTAGTAACCTAATTTTATTAAGATAATAAAGAAGGGAAAAATCATATTTGCAGTGATGATTTTTTAAATATAAATGTCTAAAACAATATAGGTTTTGGAGCAAAATTATGATGCTCAAAGAACTGATCAGAACACTTACTTTTTAAAAAAGTGCTTAAATTTTGTTATAAGCCACTTAATGCTGTGTGCTACAAAGCTAACTACAAATCTCAAACATTTTTTTTTAAAAAATGTAATTTTGCCTTGCAGCTAAGGGCTCTATCGCACATCTTGCAAACGCCGATTGAAGTTGTACAAATGGATTCACCACCTATAGTTGTCGGTGAGGAATACAGGAGAAAACCACTAATACTTGTGTAAGTAGATACTTTAAACACTGGGGCTCAAAGGAGGTCTGTGTTTGAAGAAGTATATAAGTGACTGAAAACATTGGTTGAATTATGTATTTAAGGGTACCTTGGAGTAAGACCATTGAATTCAGTGAGACATATTATGGGTAAACAGTCATAGTAGCATCATGGGGAAGGGTCAACTAGCCGTCTGGAGCAGATTTCAGAGGGGGGAGCGGGGAGAGAGAGACGATAGCTGAAAATGGTTTTCTTCTCTGTTCTGCTGTTGGAAGGCTTACCATCAGCTGAGCAACACCACTGGAAATAAAACCATTGGATGCATCTATGTGTGCATGCATTCTGTTCGTTTGAAAGACATCTTTGTAATTGCTATAACACCTGTTTTTGCTTCTAGGTATATGAGACATGCATACGGGTTAGGAGAACATTATAATTCTGTAAAACCTCTAATGGACACACCTACGGAAAATGAAAGCTAGTACAGGATTCAACAGAAGATATGATGAGTGCATCTTTGCACTTTACGCTGCTTATCTTTGGATAGGTTTTAAAATTCTGCTCGAGTTTTTTTACAAGGCAATGAGGGTTTGGGGATATATATCAGATTTGTTGTATGAACTGTTAATTCTAATTTAAATCATGTTTTAAACAAAATATTCCCCAAGGTGTTTGCAATGTAACTAATAAATTGTGTATTACAGATTCTCCCCCACTTGCACTCAATCCTCTCCTTTGGTAGCAAAAACAATGGTATATGTACCATGGCTATACAACTCTTCAACTATTATAAACAGCAGTCTTTCAATAATTGCAACTAAAACATGATGGGGATATTTAACAATGTGCAATTGCTAAAATGCTTGGTGATACTATGAGATGGCTGCATGATGCTTCTTTAGGTCAAATATCTTTTAACCATTGTTGTGACTTTAAAAAAACACCTCTTGCTGAAATCTTCAGAGAACCTCCCTGCCCCTGCCCAGCTTAAATGGGGTTGCACATCCAAACGTAACTGCCTCAGAGGCTCAGTAACACATTCCTGGTTATAAGAAACAGCCCTATAATATTGAGTCAGACCGTTAGTCTACCTAGTTCATTTGTCCACACTGACTGGCAGTGGCCTTCCAGGTTTCAGACAGGACTCTTCCAGCCCTACCTAGAGACTGAATCTCGTATCTTTTCCCAGTCAGACAATGTGTTCTACTATCAAGCTATACCCCTTCCCCTTTTACATAGACTTTTTGAAGAACAAGCTTGGTTTGTTCTTTAATAGGATGGCTACTACTTTCCGCAGTCGCAGTAAAGGCAATATGGAATAAGAATGATTTTGCTGCTGATCCTGGTTTCCAGTTCAAACAGATCCCCTACACAATCACCTCTGGAGTGCATGGCATTCTTTCCAAACTTGGTTGTGAAGTGACCCTCCACGTTTTATTTAAAACATGCATATGGCTGTCCTGATTCCCAGAGCAGTAGCAGGTCAAATGCTGTCATATTTCAAGAATAGGTAGAACCAAATGCTTGCCATATAGAGGTACTAATTCACACAAGCAGTACCTTCATATGAACTATGTCAGACAGAGAGCCATCACATGCCTAAATCAGCCCTACACTTGTAAGATATAAAAGCCCAAATCTTTGAAGTAGCATCTTCAATTAAAAACTGCTACTTACAGGGAGCGCTTCAGATGCAGCTGCCAGTTATAAAACATCCCTGCAAACAATTAAACTTCTATACAGAACAATAAAACATACTTGAATATTTAAAGCACTTAGCATCACTCAGTTGCATTTTTAATATTTCAGATATGTACCGTTAAGAGAAAGTTTTTCTTTTGTCTTCAGGGCTGTCACAATAGTAGTTGGAATTAAATATAGCTGTTTAAAATACTTGCAAATGAGAAGTTGGAATTTACTGTAGAGAAACATGGATCTGCTGTTGTCTTCCACTAAATCCACATAAGACAGCCTAATGTTTCTCTTGCTTAAGATAAATGAGGCAAAGATCTGGAAGTTTGTGGCAAATCAGCCTCCCACACTCCGCTGCTTTGCATTTGCTCCCTTGTAACTGCTTTGGGCCTATGTTATTTCCACACCATTCTTTTGGTCTTTCATAAGTTCTGTGTTGTGTTCGGTCAGGAGTAGGTTCAACTTTGGATATAATTTTTTATAGAAAAGCAGAGTAAGAATTGATTTATACTTTCACTCCTACTAGCAGCATTCTATTGCAGAGTGCCTATTGTTGATAGCAGCCAGAAAGGGTCTTCTACCCCATCAGTAACCATGGCTACTGCAGCAACAGCAAATAGAGGCTGGCAAGGGAAGAGCTCCCCCCAAAACCACACACCCCGCAAAATAGCCTGGGCTATTTCCAAAATATAAGTTAATGAAGTAGGGGAGGGGCTCTTAAAGTTTGCTCCCTGCTCTCTACAAATCACAGTAAAAGTTGCTGAGGCTGCTGGTGGAAGGAGATTTTATACATCTGTAAAACGGAATACATGTGCTGTTTTTAGGGATGCACAATTGTATCAGAGTTAAAAGCTTTTAATTGAAAAAGGGCCCTGATGATTATTCAGACAGATTAATAGATTTTTTAAGAAAAACCTGCTGTGGCACCATCTTAAAGCAGGCATCACTTTCCTCATTCATATATATAAATATATACAAAGCCAGTTTTCCTGTGCTTGAGTTCCTGGGACTCAAGATTTTAAAAGAAATGCAAATTTTTTTTTGAAAAACATGGAGTTAGAAGAAATAATGTACGTGGAACTATTCCTGTCATTTTGCATCAGCACATGCGGAAGGTTCAATCCTCTGCATCTCCAGACAGGTCTGGGAGAAAAACGTGTCTGAAACCAGGGGAAAACCCTGCCAGTCAGTGTAGACAGTAGTAAGCTAGATGGAGGAAATGGTCCGACTCAGCAGGCAGCTTCCAATGTTCCTATGTCCCAGCCTCCCCTTCCTGGCCCCATCCTAGAGATAGGTAATTTCTACACTCCTGCATTTGTGTTTGGTTGTTATCCACCTACAAAAAATGCTATTTCTTCTTGTCCAGTTCCTACTGCGCCTTTTTATAAAGAGAAGCAGCCAAAATCACGACTAGTCGCCCTTATCTCCTCCCCTCGCTGCCCCTGCTTCAACTTCTTATTTGCAGGGACAAGGGCATCTGTCTGCGGCTTTCCTCACATTGCCGGACTACAGTTCCCATCACCCACCCCGGTCTCTATGCCTCTCCCTTGCGCATGCGCGGTCTCACCGCGGCCTCTCGTAACGTAGACGCCCGTTACCATGGCCACGAGGCCTCAGGACGACGCGCCGCTTTCGCCGTTACCATGGCGACGGCGAGGCCTTGTTTACGCCCGCGGTTTCTACGGCGCCGCGGAGCTGACCGGGCCGGAGGGAGAGGAAACATGACGGCGGAGCTGCTCCGGGCTCTGCGTGGTGGGCCAGGGACTCGCTGCCTGTCGCTGAAGGCGCGGGGGCTACGCCGCCTGCCGCGGGGGTTGGGGAAGATGAAGGGCCTGGAGAGACTGAGCTTGCGGGACAACAGCCTGCGCCGGCTGCCTCAGGATATGAAGGCTCTGGGCCGGGTGAGGCGGCCCAGCAGATCCTTTGGTCGAGGATTCTGCGCCATGGGGCTCCGTCCCTCCATCTCTGTAACCACTAGGGTTGCCACCTTTCAGCCCCACGCCCCCAGCGCCTTTCCCGCCGCGTTATTTAGCCTATGAACCTAGCATGAAAATAAAGTGGTAGGACTTTTCTTCCCTCAGCTACTGGTAAAGCGACAGTTCAAGTGGGGGGCGGCCAGGTGGGGGGCATTTGGCAGGCTGGTCAGGACCTGCTCAAAAGCCATCCCTATAGGTCTAGGTCAGGGGTCTGCAACCCACGGCTCCGGAGCCGCATGTGGCTCTTTTACACCTTTGCCGCGGCTCCGGGGCGGATACTAGCGAGGGGAGGAGGCGCATTGTGCGCCCCGACACTCCCCACTGTGGCGGGCGCTGTACTGGCTGTGACGTCGCATGGGGGCGGTGCGTGCGTTAGTCACGCACCGTACCGACGTCACCTTCCCGCCCACTGTCAGATTGGAGGGCAGCGGCGCGCATGCTTTAAATGTCGCAATGGTTTTGCGGCTCCCAGTTTTTCCCCCCTTCGGAAACGGGTCCAAGTGGCTCTTTTTGTCTTAAAGGTTGCAGACCCCTGGTCTAGGTTAAGGTTACCAGATTTTTTTCAGTGAATCCGGGGACACTTTTCAACTTCAATGGATTCTGTATGGGGACTGATTTGTAAATCGGGGGACTGTCCCCGGGAAACGGGGACGTCTGGTAACCTTAGTCTAGGTCCACAGTGGTTCCCAACCTTTTTTAGGCCATGCCCCACCTAAGCATCTCTAAAATCCTGACACCCCCCTCCCCCCAGTGAGAATTCTTCTTATTCAAAAAGTGAACTCCTATTCACGTGGAGGAAGCCTAAAAGGCCATTCACTGTTAATAACTCATTCTTTAATTGCCCCCCTTAAAAATCAAATTGCCCCCCTGTAGACCTTGTTGGGAACCACGGGTCTAGGGTAAGCTGTCCAGGGCAATCACTCTACCTCTGTACTCAAGTGGCTTGGGATCCCCGTTCTGCATTGTGCAGCAAAGATGGGGGGGAACCCCTCATCTGCGGCTCTTTGTGATGTCAGGACAGCTGGAATGGAGCGCTGCTCAAAATCTTCATTGGGGAAAAATAGTACAAAGCATCCTAGGGCAGGCACGTCCAACAGGTAGATCGTGATCTACTGGTAGATCATTGGACATCTGTGGTAGATCACTGGTAGATCACAGGCTCCCCCCACAGAACAACTTTGGCTCCGCTAAAAAAAAAGCTAAACAACTTAGAGCTGAACTCCTAAAAACAGGGGTTTCCTCCTCCCTAAAAAAACTCAACAACTTTGAGCTGAACCCACCAAAAACGGGGGTAGATCACTGACAGATTTTAATTCAGAAAGTAGATTGCAGCTTCTTGGGAGTTGGCCACCCCTGTCCTAGGGTTTCCAGTTGTGTTGTGGCTTTTAAAACAAGAGGAACACATGGTTCTTCTGTAAGTGAGATTGGGCTTGTTCCTTCCGAAAAACCTTTTTTTTTTAGAGCATTTGGGAACTGTAGTGCAGCTTTCTTTGAACAATTCGATTTGTCTTTGCGACAAAATTTTATGCCACTATCAAGTTTTAGATTGCTAATGGAAAGGTAAAGATGCTATAATCTTCATGGTCATAGAGGATGCAAGTGTTCAAAGATAACACTTTCAAGCTCCATTGGTTTCAGTGACAGAGATTTAGGAGCTTTTTAAAAGCTCTACTTTACCATTAGAATTAATGGGGGTTAAGGGTGCACAACATTTAACTGGACAGTGCCCTTAGTTTCTGGGTTATTTATCATATTAAATTAGGAGAGAACTGGGATCAAGTAGAAGGCATTGACTGAACAGCTGGATTGGGGGTGGAGGGAAAGGAATAGTTCTTTACATCTTTCAATCTAAGCCTTTACTTTTTATGGGTCATAAAAGTGGTTATGGAACTTTTTATGACGGACTGAAACTTGGCAGTAGTATAATTCAACCTGGGACTAATATGCACTTTTTAAAACAACATTTTAAAAATGTTCTGGGAAAACTCAAATTACTTCAAAATACTTTCACAAAGCCCCATGACTGTGGCACGAAAGTGTGTATTTTTCCACAATTGTAAAATATTTATACTTCATGCTGAAAGCAGTGTTGTTGAAAGTGCTGGCTATACCACAATACATAATTATTTTGAGTAGCACTGTGCCAGCCTCTCTTCTCGGAATGGGTGCAGTCCTATCATGCTTTCTCCTTTGGCATAATGGCATATGGTGGATTTATATGGAGAAGTATTTGGTTCTCTTTGCTTCTCCTTCCTAACTCATGTTTTGGAAGAGAAAGAGATACTTGTCTCATCATTTCAGGATGCAGTTTCTGATAGGATTCCAGGCCTACTGTTTAAAGAAAGAAAAGTTAAAATTCCTTGTGAGTGTATTCAAACTCTTGGGCACAACTAAAGCAAGTAAGTTGGATGGATCAAACCTAGTTCAACCAGCTCTGTATAGCCTAACTAATTAAAATCACAGCATATTACAGACAGAAAGGAGGCTTAGTGCAGAAAAGTGCTTACAGAGAAAATGGCAAAACCACATTCTGTAGCATAAGGTACACTGCAAAAGCACAGTGTGATCTGGTGAAATATGCTATTTTTAAAATAATATTGGATTTAGGGTATTTATTTTCTTAGTTTTCAAATAAGAAACTGATTATAATGGACTGAAACTGACTAGATTCCCTCATGTACAAACATGAGCTGTGACTGTTGTCATAAAAAAGAATGGAGATTTAGGATTCTAGAAGCCCAGCAATACTACAACAGGATGTTGTGTAGCATAGTAGTGTTTTAATAATGTGTGTGTGTGTGTTTAAGGGGGTTTACATGGTGCTGAACATTATATTTGGAATTAGGTTCCAGTATTACTGGGTATGTTTTCAGCTTTAAGTTAGGATTTAATAGCATGCATTTAAGTAAATGCATTAAGTAAATTTAAGTAAATGCATTAGGTAAATTCGAAAGCACGCAGTGCAAGTAGATAAATAGGTACTGCTCCTGCAGGAAGGTAAATGGCATTTCCGTGCGTTGCTCTGGTTCGCCAGAAGCGGCTTAGTCATGCTGGCCACATGACCCGGAAGCTGTACGCCGGCTCCCTTGTAAAGTGAGATGAGTGCCGCAACCCCAGAGTCATCCGCGACTGGACCTAATGGTCAGGGGTCCCTTTACCTTTACCTATTTAAGTAAATGAATACCAGCTAGGCTCAGGTCATGCTTTGGGGCTTCCCATATGCATATGGTTGGCTGCTGTGAGAACAGGATGCTGGACTAATTGGGCCATTGGTTGATCCAGCAGACTCTTCATATGTGCCTGATATTTTGGTGAAAGAAATGATGCAAGGCTGTTTAATTAAATATTTTATTATAGTTGAAGGTACTGAATTTGGGAAATAATAATTTTGAGGAGGTTCCAGAGCAGCTGAAATACCTCAAGTCTTTGCAGACTCTTCATTTGTTTAGAAACAAGATCACCAGAATATCACCCTTAATATTTGGTAAGCTCATATCACATCCTGCTCAAAATCATTTTATTGTGCAGTGTATATAATGTGACATATAATATATTCTATTGTAGAAATTCTGCTCCATAAAAACTTACAGTTGATAAATCATGTTTCTGAATCTATGCTTGTTATCTCATAAACAAGCATCATTGCATTAAATGGGACTTACTTCCGATTTTTAATTAAAGTGTTTTTACCCAACCCTTCAGCTGATGGAGGACCTACAGATATTCATAATATGACAGCCCCTCCCCTCCTCCTCTTTTCATATTGACAATCTGAAAGACAAGGCACAGCAGGAAAAGTCATTTAGAGGGGAAAGGATTGTAGCATCAGTGAATCAAATTGAATAAATTTGTGTATAAGCAAACCCTAATAGTTTTGGAGAAAACACACTCTTTTTAGATGATGTATACACATGTTGCAGAAGATGTTTTCTCTCTTTGAGAAAAACATTTATTCTTTTGCGATAAGGCAAATTTCTAAGATGGTGCGAGTCTTCTATGACACTTTTTAAGGAGTCTAAATTTAAATGTTTTTAATAATCTATCTTACTAAACACTGTAGCCCTAAATAGTCTCAGTTCCCCAAATGTACAATGTTTGTAATTAATATATATGTAACTGCATGGGTAATCAGTGAGATTTAGGCTGCTTATGACATTGTATCCAAGTCTACAAACCTGCTTTCTGTTCTCATTTTGTTCCCTTGCTGTCATTCTGTCTACACTGCCCTAGGAGTAACTTCCCTTTATTCAGGAGAACTTTCTTGCAAGCAACTATGTATAGAACTGGACTGTTCCTGTTCCTGTTCTATACGGTGGATTATCCTATCATTGTTTCCCATTTTGGGTTTCCCATGACTCTGTCCTGTCACCTCTCTGAGCATATACTTCCTTTATCTCCTTTGGCAACACTTCATATTCCCCTTGAAACCGTGTACTGTACCAGTACCAAATGGAATGATCACCCATGTTACATTGTTGATCAATAAAAACACACACACTGTAATGACAAAAATGGAATGCGATGGCATTAAAATGCATATTCAGGTTTATATATATATACTTTATCTTAAAACTGTCTTTTTTTACAGATGGATTGCAAAATTTAGTACTCCTCAATCTGAACAACAACCAACTTAGTTATCTTCCTCCAGAGATACAAAGGTAACTACTATACTTTTGAAGTTTTACCTAAGCTGCCTATACCATTATTTGTTAGTATGAGACATAGCATTTGCCCATGTTTATCTGGGCAGAAGGTGTGATATATTCCTTAATACTGAATGGCAAAAACAATAAAATATAGTAAGTAATATGTCTTATTTTGGTTCCACACTTCATACTTTTTGGACAATAGCAGCAGAAAAAAATGAATAACACCAGTGCCCTCCCCAGTCATCCATTATACTTTTCTTTTGTTTGAGACTCACTAGCTGTACTAAAAATTGCTTCTGTTCTGTCCACGTTAGTGTTACATCAGGTAGACCCAAGTTCTCATATAGTCACATTAGGATTGCAAAGGGCTCCTATAGAAATCTTAAGCTAGATATTTAAACATAATGTTTTGTAGTATTGTACGATTCGTAGGGTTTAGGTTCTATCCCTGTCAGCAGCCATTCCTTTATTATTATATATTTATTTATACCCCTCTTGTTTCCTTGATGGGAATCAAGGCAGCTTACAAATAAAAACTAAAAATATAGAGAAAAACAGCAATAATTAAAAACAATTAAACATTTAAATAGAAATAAAACCATATACAGTACATATATAAAATTTGTTTTAAACATACAAATAATTACAATAAAAACAGCACAGCACCAGCCCTTTCATTCAAAGCAGTCAATTCCCAAAAGCCTGTTCAAAGAAGGTCTTCACCTGCTGGCAGAAGGACAACAAAGAGGGAGCCAGTCTAGCTACTACAGGAAGGGCCTTTCTCGTGCCCCCATTCCTTGAGACAATGCCAGGCCTACTTGCTCCTTTGATTATAAACAGTTACTTATTGGGCTGCTACATCTTCAGTTGATTGTGCTTAGTTACAGGGTTAACTCTGACCTATGAGAAACATAACTCTGACCTATGAATTAAAAACTACCACATTAATTTTGAGTTTTAGTGCTTTTTTTCTATACCTTTATTGGCAGTAAGGTGATTGAGGTACATTCACTTGATAGACTAATTAACAACTTTTAATCCTGTTTTGTATTAAAATCTTATCTAGATGCAGATGTGTAGACCAACATTCACTGGTAAACATACAAAAGAAAAATAGAGTTGGAGGCTTGGAATTCTTTATTCCTTTCATAGGCTTGAACATCTTGAATGCTTGAGTTTAGACAATAACCAACTGCAAAAAATTCCCAAAGAATTCTGTTATCTCCGAAAGTTGTGTGAACTCCATTTGTTCAACAATTCCATCACTGCGCTCCCTGAAGAGATTAAATACCTGAGAAAACTCAAGATCTTGATTTTGGCAAGAAATCAAATAGAAGAACTTCCTGATGTGAGTAGTGGTGTGCTTTGAAAACTGTGTCTTCTTGAGACCAATACAAAAGTCATATGCAATTTGTACAGGGATTAAAAAATATATTTTTTAAAATTGCCTTGTGTTGTGCAGACTGTTTATAGCCAGTTAGCACATCATGGTAAGCCATAGTTAATGGTTTACTGTGTGTGCCCCTTAGCTGATTTGCTCTTCCCTGCTCACACTGGGAAGAAGCAAGCCACAATCCCTGACTTAGCATTACATCTGAACCAGTGATCATGCTTTATTTCACTCCAAGCAAAAAACAGTCAGTAAACCAAGAACCACCTGTGCCTATAACGACTACTACTACTGCTGCTACTACTCTGAGTATAATTTAGTTAGCTACAACCTAGAATCTGTTATGTTTTGCTAAACTAAGAAGGTGCAGGGAATTCATATAAGCACATTATTGATATTCACCATATGGGAAATGCTCAGCCCTGAAAATACCCTTTGTTGTTGTTGTTTAGTCGTTTAGTCGTGTCCGACTCTTCGTGACCCCATGGACCAGAGCATGCCAGGCACTCCTGTCTTCCACTGCCTCCCGCAGTTTGGTCAAACTCATGCTGGTAGCTTCGAGAACACTGTCCAACCAGAAAATACCCTAACATTACAATTAATCAAGAATTACCATGGGTGGCCTAAAGGAAAATAGCTTTTGCTTTGGATGGAACCTCATCTTGCCTTTCTGCTTTGCTGCCTGCTATGCCCAGAATTGCTTCCCAAAATACCACTGTGATACTGTGTTTCTCTTCCTTTAAATCCCTCCTTTTCTTTGAAGCCTTTAGCAGAACCACCTAGTTACCATTCACTACTGAAACTATATAGGGATGCGGGTGGCGCTGTGGGTTAAAGCCTCAGTGTCTAGGACTTGCCGATCGGAAGGTCGGCAGTTCGAATCCCCGCGGCGGGGTGCGCTCCCGTCGTTCGGTCCCAGCACCTGCCAACCTAGCAGTTCGAAAGCACCTTCGGGTGCAAGTAGATAAATAGGGACCGCTTACCAGCGGGAAGGTAAACGGTGTTCCGTGTGCTGCGCTGGCTCGCCAGATGCAGCTTGTCATGCTGGCCACGTGACCCGGAAGTGTCTGCGGACAGCGCTGGCTCCCGGCCTATAGAGTGAGATGAGCGCACAACCCTAGAGTCTGGCAAGACTGGCCCGTACGGGCACGGGTACCTTTACCTTTTTACCTACTGAAACTAAGGGCTTGTCCACACTTCCTCTTGTCCCGCTGCTTTCCGCTGGGGAAAACTGCTCTTTTAGCGCTCAGTCAGAACAAATGGCAAGTTGGGCTTTCCCTGGTTTGCTATTTCTTCCAGTCTAAGCAGGTTTTCTCTTGGAAAGGAGTGGGGCAAGGGGAAAACCACCTGGACCCATGCCTAGTAAGCAAACTGCTTGGACCCATGCTTTCCAGGCTTGGCGTAAGCGGAAGTGTGAATAAGCCCTCTGCCTAAATAAGTGCAAATAACCTAAATACATATTCTTTCCCTAGCTGTCTCACCTCTATCATCTGTGTCGTCTTTTGGTACCTTCTGTATCAATTTTCAATTTGTAAATATACCCCCAGAGAGGTAAATATTCTAAATACTTTGTTTTAATACCAACTAAGATCTAGTCCCTCTTAGAATACATTTTCAGCTTTCCCTGTATGATTTTTCTTCTCCCACTTCTGACAACTGTTTTATTTTTGTCCTTTCACCTCTGATGTCCAAGTCAATATAATTTACTTTAATATTGCTAAGGCTCCTTTGGCTTTTACTAAATTTATCGTTTTTCACTAGGGACTTTGCAAATTGAAGAGGCTTAGAGTTCTAGATGTAGCTGGAAACAATATCCAGATCTTCCCAACAGCAGTAAGTAGGACTATTAATAGGTCTCTTCAGTGGAATAATCTGTACATTATGAAAATTAGTAAAATGGATTTCAGAAACATGAAGCAGGAATGCATTTTTAATAATATGTTTGTATTAGTTATAAAAATATACCTGATTTGGATTCTTGTTTATGTGGATTCTTCCTGAACTATGCAGGGTAGTGGAGGTTCACCCTGAATTAGCAGGACCTCCACTCAGTTTAGGGGAATTCTTCCTTCTGCCACCAACCTTTTGTGTCCCATCCCACATTGTTCAGAAGGGCCCCCCAACCTACTGGAGAGGCTTTGTGGGTGACACAGGTAGTGCAGGAGGGGGCAGGGAGGAAGGGAAAATGAAGGTACAGAAAACTTTCATTTCATGAACGTCTTTAACTTACCTTAAGATCCATACCAGCAAGAATAGTCAGAAAATACTGGGATGCAGTTGGTTAACAACCGTATAATATGGATATACCATAAAAAGTGATTGAGCAAAGGATGGCAATTCTAGTAACTGGAGCAGTAGGCAGGAAAGTTGCCCAATGTGAAGGGCAGTATGCCTACAGCTCTCTGGACCCCAACCCCACCCAATATATAGAAATGCTTACAGAGGATGTTTGAATGCATGCTGCAGTAATATCAGCAAACACCTGAGGGCAGCACTACATAATGTCACACTGCTCTGTCTACTCAGTTTCTTACTAATACAGAAAAGCCAACTGGAAAAGTTCACCCGTAGAAAATAATTTTCTTGAACGTTTGAATGTTCAGTCTTTGCATATGGTTTCACAATATTCCAGTTTATCTGACCAACAGCCTTTAACCACAGAGTGATTTCCTACTGCAGGTATATTACATGGCAAACTGTTTTTCTTTTTCTTTTTCGCAACTACAACTGTGTTTGCTGCTGAAGCATGGACAGCATCCCCTTGTGCTCATGTGTGTTTCATATATTTGTGTACCTGAATATATCATAGCATTGTTGCAGAAAGCACTCGTTTGATACCAGCGTTAAATGTATTTGATGTGTAATGCAAAGAGCTGCCATTAGACATTAATGACTCAGGTTCCCTACCAAAAATGACCCTAATATGAGGTAGTGTGTGGTAGTTGCCTAAGGCAAGAGATAATAGGTTCCATTAAATTTTAGTAGAGTGGAAGGCAGAGGTCTGGCCTATAGGGCACAATCCAGGAAAGGGCTTTCTAAGCAACATCAAGATGAACAGGAATGTGAAATCTGCAACATCCATTCTTTTCAGCTAGGCTTGTACAGGAGAACCTTCTGTTATTTAGTGTGAAGAAGCGGGTACCATTTGTGTTTCCTGCTTTGGTCCAGGCCTGTTTCTTTACGTTAGCAATCTCTACTCTGTTGTGTGAAGCAGTGAATTTAACATATCATGCTGTACTATACTTACCGTTCCCGGTGGAAATAGTAGAGTAGCATGGTGCAAGTCATGTGCAATTTCAGGGGTGTCGAGGCAAACTGAGTCATTCATAATGGAACTATTAAAAACGATACTGCTAGCAAAATAGAAAATACATCTTTCACTAGCAACAAACAACTACTGAAGAAGACCAGAAGCCATCTGTAAGCATAAGAAAGCCTGTATTTAGGAATTCAGTTTCTGAAACTTGTTTGAAGAGATACCCATCTATGAATTCAAGTAATCAACTTCAAATTCAAGATATAGCATTTAAATATAAAGTTTGATTAGGTATGATTTGTTAGCAGTACTTTTCTAAAGGGTTCTTTTTGTGGTATTTGCCTTATCTACTTCTTTTGATGAGTTTATCATTCATAATGGAAGCTACTATCCTTCCACTTGTTAGAAGTGGCTTTCTAGTCTTCCACCTGACATCTGTGATGGACACAATAAATTCATCTCTTCCATTTGAGAGCGCAGTAGAAATACGGTACTTTACTGAGGAACTAGTGTTCTCATATGCATACATTATACTTTTACATGTGCAAAGGCCCTTTTCTAGATTATTTTGGCTGTACTTTAAAAAATTTCAGAAGGAAAATATTCAAAAAATTATGAAACTCCAAACAAGCATGTTATCAAACCAAATAGATTTTGGAACTAGAACGCCTTCTTGCACCTATCATTTTACATGTACTAGAATTATGTAAATTTAAAGGAACGAAAGGTTGCAAGTATTCTGTAATGTAAACAGTGCGTATATTGGCATGAAAATATGGCTCTTTTGAGCTATAAAACTCACATAATGGGGGTGGGGGGAATGTAAAGTTTGTCTGTGAGCCAATTTGCATTTGGGCAGAAATAAAGGATTCATTTTTTAAAAGGATATTTGCAGCCAAACAGACCTAGATTTAGAAAAGAATTGAGTATTTCTCCCAATGGAAAAAGAATTGGCACTATTCACACACAGCTGAGTACATCTAACTTTTGAAAGGTGGTCTTGAGACTCTAACTTTACATGTGTGCATTAAGATGCAGTTAGCCCCTAAGTCAGTTTAAGAGGCAGAGTTAAGCACTTCAATATTCTAGCATTTAAATAAGGGATTTGAAAGTGTTGAACATGTCAGTTTTATGGGTATTTGCTCTGAAGTAACATTTTTTTTAGTTCAATGCAACTTCCTTCTCCCAAGTAAGTATGCGTAGAAAAATTCCTTAGAACCATGTCAATACTGTTTAATTTTGTTACTTTAAAAATATTTAGAGAGTTCTTATCACACAACTGCCCAGATTATAATTATTGAAGAATTGCGCTTGTTGCAACAGTTAACTGCCATTTATGCTTTGCTGAAAATGCAAACAAATACCTAGCTTTCTATATCCTGCTGAGCCTTTTAAACAATTGTTGGTATAATCGACCTAAATTTAAGCACTTTTAAGTCCCACTGTTTTCAGTGTTAGCACATTTAAAAACTTTTCCATTGAAATCAATGGGCTTTAAGAGCTTTAACTTTGGCTGGATTAATAAATATCTGCTAAATTCATTGTCATGAACAGCTAGTAGTCATTTTTTATGTGGAACCTGTGCTAGCTATAGAACTCAAGAGTTCCAAACTTACTGATCTGTTCTTCACTATATTTTATGAGAATGAAATCATCTTTTGACGTTTCTTGTAAAGGAGATTTTGGATTACACCTCAGAGATTCTGTCATAGTTATAATTTGAAAAAAAAAAGCTGTAAGAAAGTGATATATTTTTATGGTGATTGCTACAAACTATGTGACCCAGAATGTAATTGCCTATTCACTCATCTTGCCCTGGAGGTATGAACTTTTTAATGTCACAAAATCTCAAGCTTTCATTTGTGGAAAGACAATAAAAGGTTTTACAGATATACCAGCTGCACAGAATCCTCTCTCTGTGTTTATACGTTTAATACAGGTGTTCTCAGTAAGTCAGGGTCTTCTAGCTTTGCTTACATTGAGTAGTTGCTTATATAATATCAGCAGAATTGTTATCTATCGATTTACCTATCTTTGTATGCTCTATCTAATAAAACATTAGAGATAGATAAGCTTAGGTTGTTTCATAAAACCACATAGTATCAAATTAAGCTAAATGCAATATTATTAAGCAAATTTCTATTATGTGCTTCCTCTCAAAGGAGCCCACTTAATATTTGCTTATGTAGCATATGAACTTGTGGTTTAAAATAATTTTTACTGATTTGTCATTGGAAAGTATTCATAGACCAGAATGTGTATAAGAGGAATAGTAATCATTACAGAAGGAACAAAGAATCAGTACCATTTATTTCAAGATGGTTTGTAAATTACTTAGAGAAATTTCATCAAACCATAAGGAAAAAATACATTCTTGGATGGTTTTCCAGCAAACAGCACAGTGTGTCAGGTCCCTTCGGTAGCTCTAGAAATCAAGGGTATAATAACTCAACTTGTTACACAGTTGACAGTGGGGATGGCCTAACTATGAATAATTTCTTCCAGATCCATTTGAATAGCTTTCCCCCCCCTGGTCAGCTACTAGTTTTATGGTAAGCCCATTGCACATAATGGACTGCTGGAAAGTCCTGTTGCCAAAGTCACCATGCCCTGTACAGTCTCTCCTGCCTAAGGGCTGGAAAATGGGTGGTGGCATTGTCTTGTTTTGTGGTAAGGTGAGGGTCAGGCTAGGTGCAGAACAACACAATGCTAAGTAGGCTCAGGTGGGATGCAAGCTGAGGTGAGGCAAGGCTCAGTCTGAAAGCAGAGGAAGGCAAGGTGAAGTTCAGGCTGGATGTGAATCTCAGACTGTGTTATAGGATACCGCTTCAGCAACAAAACCAACTGTGGTAGCAGCTACATCCCAGTTGTTAGCCCTGTCGGTACAGCAGAGCTTTCCAAACCTTCCCCTGTTTGTGACACACTTTTTAGACATGCATCATTTCGTGACACAGTAATTCAGGTTTACTAGCAAACCAGAGGTTAAACTAACCCCTTTCCAGCCCTGGGAGGAGCATGGGGAGCAGTCACATGACACACCTACACACTGCAGCCGACACTAACATGTCATGACACACAGTTTGGAAAGCTCTGCTGTAGAGGAAGGTACTTCTTCTGTTGAAGGGTGCCACCTGCTATAGTAATGTCCTGCTGCAATTAAGCAAAGGAGCCTCTGGTCTCTCTGGGACTTCAACAACGGAGTCCTCTGTGGACAGCAGTGCTTAATTTTTGGACTGGAGGGGCACCAGCTGCAGACCCCTCTGGTGCTTACTATTTTTTTTAAAAAAGATGCAAGTTTAATCAATAAATTGAACATGAAATAGTTTGGCCCTGACTTAGTTCACAGGGACTTTCTTCCAAGTCAGTATGCCTATTTTTGCAGCTGCAATCAAAGTCTAATACTAAAGCAGCCAGCAGTATCAACATGCCAAGGTGGAGATCTCATGGGGTAGATGCTCCTGTCTGACCTCTCTTTAGAATAAGGGTGGCTAACCTGTGACCTGAATTTGATCTGCCAAGCTACAGGAAGTTGCCTGCAACTTTTATCTGATCAGGAGATAAGACACCCTGCCTTCTCATTGGAAATGACATCTGGTAAACATTTTGTTGAAAGTATTGATGTTTCCTGTATTTCTTGTGTTATTTAAACAGATGGAAGATCTTGAACTGGAGGAACTTTATTGTGAAAGTAATCCATTGCTTCAGAAACATCCAGTTAGTGCCATACAAGAGGAGGACATTTTGACTCTTAAGGTTACTGGAGAAAACTTTTCAAAATTATAGATAACAATGGACTAACTTAAGTCCATAGATTTTAGTGGGTCATCTCTGGGTATGACTTAATTGAATACCACCCTATAGCTTAAAAGTGACTTTTTTCAGATTTCAGAGTAATCCAAATCCTTCATTCAAACCATTCTAAATAACCATTCTGTATTCCAAGAGATAGTTTTACTCACTAAAAATGATCCTTAGTCTGGTGGATAGAGTTTGAAATTAAGTTAATGAAAGTTTCAGGATTTTGATAAATTGTAGTGATTTCTTGGAAAATAATAATAGATGCTATGGTGGAAGCCAACCACTTTCCAACAGTATTTAAGTACAGAGGAAAAAAAGTTAATAGTAGCTGTTTCTACCCGTTCCTTTTAAAGAGCACAAACACTGAATGAACACTGTTTCTGCCCCGTCCTTTTAAAGAGCAAAATGTTAGTGAAACCTATGCAACTCTCCAAAGATTGAAAAGTGCTGAAATACCTGGGGAAGATATTTAAAATCACATACAAGAGCACAGTTCTATGTAACAGCCACAAAAAAGCACTGAAAGGCACAGGACTGTAACAACAGTATATTAATGAGAAGAAGTTTTCAATAAGGTAGACAAAGTGTATCTTTCACGAAGACTTACAAAGAACCATATAGTACAAAAGTATTTCTTATTGCATTGAAAGATGCTCTAAGCAGCTGAAAGCAGACCAGCTTCCTGATAAGGTCTGGTTTTGACTCTTCCCCAGATGATAGCACCTCAAAAACATTTCAAGGCCCTGAGTGTGGCGAGTATTGGGACAATGTCTTAGCTTAATGCCTAGCCATGTGTCTTGGAGCTCTGCTGTGAACTTCTGAACTAACCTGTAGTCTGATAGGTGTTTGGGCGTTGTAGTGAATTTTGGAATAAAGCCTTTAACAATAACCGAACTGAGAATTTGAGCACCACATCCACAAGTGGGTCTGTGAAAAAATGTTTCTGTGAAAGGCTGCAAATGTACTTTATGGCTATGTATATTGTGTATTGTGTGGCTTCAGCAAACTGTATCTCAATTGCTATAAATAAATTTGCTTTTCTCTTACAGTGAGCCATTTTATATTCCCATAGGATTCTATGGCTACTCTTTTTGGTTCTGTTTGAGTTAATGATTTTGCAATGAGTAATAAGCTAAAAGCCAATTTGGTTTTTTAAAGACCTTAACACAAATCTAATTTTTAAAGAAAAAACAGAAATTATTTCCAAATTCTACAAAATTAACCTCCTTGGGGTGGGACCTGCATATATCTTTTTGGAAAGAGCTCAGCGAATCATTCATAATTACAAAATAAGTATTTTTGCTGGGGGGAAAAGCAGAATGGAGCAATCAGAGCATTTTCAGGACATCTTTGACAAAAAGGATTAGCTATTTCAGTATTAATTTGAGGTTGGAATTGAATTCTCGCTCAAATTGTAAAATAACAGATTCATTTGGAAGCTTTAAAATTGATTGCATCTTGTAAATAGTTATACAAATAGCACTGAATTCTTTAACTGGCTGTCTGTGGGTAGAAAAGTCTAGCATGCTTCATGAAATCAATAAGCACTCTGTCAGGAAAAAGGAACATGTTCAGATAGGAATACAGGGAGTTACCATCTAGTATTGTCCACACTGGCTGGCAACAGCTCCCTCCTCCAAGTTCCATCAACAGACACTGATTGAAAAACGTCCTTCCTGGAGCTAGATTTGAGTGTGGCACCTGATTTATCCTTTACAATAAATTCACAGTGCCTCATGGTTACCGCACGTCTGGAGATAGAGAGAACAACTCTTTTACTCCTATCAGGCAGAGCCTTTTGCAAACAGAGCTATGCAACTTGGGGTAAAAGGCTACAAGGCCCATCTGGATAAGAGATTATTAAAATATGGAGCCATATGCTCACAGAGTCTCCTGCTAAGTGTCCGGGGTTAAAAGCATTCACTTTGAGGTTCTCTTGCAAGTCTTTTGAATAATATAAGCTATTCTGTCTTTTTAATCATACAGGAACTAACAGCAAGATTTATTCTTGATCAACTGGAAAAGAAAAACTTTAATTTACACAGGGCGCTAAAGCAGAACTTAAATGCACAGAAGATGCTTGCCCATAAGCAAGAATGTGCTCAGTGCAGACATGGCTTTCTGGGCATGTGGCTAGAATGTGTACAGTTCGTGGATATAAGACAGGTAATCTTTCCTGAATCATGTATTATTTAAAGCTGGGTTCATTGCATATCCAGACTTTTGCTAGGTTCTGCTGCGGCATGTTTTCCATGAGCACCTTCAAAATCTATTGTTTTCTTTCTGCACGTGTGCATTAAAAATTATTGGGTCCCAGTTATAAGGAGAATACTTCTGGTTCAGCATTTGGTTTCCATCAGTGGCCAGCCATCTCCTATCTAAACCATTTCAGCTTTCTCTGTTTTTTAATACCACTTCTGCTGTTATTTATCAATTCGCTTATCTCATCTGTAATATCGTGTTTTCTTTGATTGCGTTCCATTTGTTTATGTAATTTGTATCACCCCCCCTTCCTTCAGAGACGCATTTCAGCCTCACAAGCTCATGACAGTGGCCCCTGAACCTGATCTGGCAATTAGGTGAGGCCTAGGCAGGGTCAGTGGCCAGTTTAAATGTGCCACGCAGAACTTGAGGGTTACTTTTCTCATACAGCATCCTTCTACTACATCTCAAACCAAGATTTGTAAGTCCATGTGTTATACCAAAGCAGCTGCAAATAATCAGTTCTTGGTTTGGAGGCTATTCAGAAACCCTGGTTTGTCGAGTGTTGTTGTTTTAGCTATCATAAAAACCACAGGTCTGAACCATCTGTGGCTGTTAGCATGGGGTATACAACTCAATATCTCCTCTTGTGCACATGCAATTGTCAGTAGAAAGATGTCGCCTTATATGGGAACCATAACTTGACAGTGCCCGCTGGCAGTTCCACTACCATGGTGAAAGGGTCACTAGGGAGAGGACACACAGATTACGCCCCCCCCCCAAAAAAAGACTGCTAGGATTAATCTCTGGACTAAAGGAGGACATAAGATCATGGAAGCTCAGACAGAATCTTTACATAAAATATTATGTTTCATAATAGAATCAATATTTCTCCTGGGTAAGGTCTCTGAAAGGACACTGCATGATGCCCTTACTTGAGGCTTGTGCTGAAGTGGCAAATCTGACACTGTTTCCTAACACCTCATCAACAGGGTATAACATCTTGATTTTCAGTTTCACCGTCCTGCTCCTCCAATTACTAATTTTGAATGCCATCCAGTAAATTAGCTTTCCCTTGACTCCTGCTGGCCCATTTCCCCACCAGATTACATAGCGCTGGATTGTTCTTCTCACAGATGTAAAATTCCTGCTGCCTTTCTATTTAGAGATAAATGTGCGAGGGCAACTATAGCTCTGACACAAATGTTATTAATTTTAAACATCATTTCAGCCAGCTCTTTGTTGTTCATTTTGTCTCAGCAAATCTGAATGTAAGGGTTGACTGTGTTGTGTCAGAGAGGTTCATGAGGACCCCTACATCGCTACAATTTATAAAAATGAATATGCTCTGTAAAATACACTAACAGTTATGCTGTTATATTTTCCCCTTTCTTTTTAAAAGCGAATGAAGACTAGCAGGAACTTGGAGCTCTTACCTGTCAAGGCACTTCTGTGCTCATACAAATGCTTTAATCACAGCGGCCACGAACTCTTTGGGATTGCTGTACCCTAGAGCAAGCAATAAACCCAGGATCTCACCCAGCTGGCAAGTTGCAACTATTTGTGACACTCTTAAGAACGGAAACAGAACATAGCATTTTGTGCTATATCCATATTCAATGTGAAATACACAGTTGTGTTGGAACAATGGTGGCAGAGAAGTGATTTAGTGGTGGGCAGGAATTATTTCCTACAGCTGTACAGTTGGTGTGTTTTGGCAGCCTTGACTCTCCTTCTGAAAATGGATGAAGTTAATGGCATTGTTTAACAGTGAGGTAAAAGTTTTATAATGTAAACTCTAACTAGCCTAGGTTACTGTGGTTTCTTTTGGCTTCTCTGTTATGATCCATGCACCTTAATCTGAAATTCTGATAAGTGTTTCTCCCCCCCTGAAGATTTAGGGTCAGACCTTAAAACTGCAAAAGAACACTTTTAACGTGTATCCAGTGATTACGTAGTGCTTGATTTCCATTATAAATCCTGTTTTCTAGAAGTTTATAACTTGGCTTTAACATTTGGCATGCATAATTTTCAACACAGAAGAAAATGTGTTGGAGCGTTTTTAAAAAGAAAGGGAATTGGTACACATTAAGAAGGATTTCTTTGCTCATAGGAACTTTGATTATAAGAAAGCTGTGTATCCTGGCAACCTTTGGAAAAAAGAACATTCCATGGAGAAGCAAGCAGTTTGATAGGACGTTCACATGCTTGCTTGCTTTTCCACTCTTATTTCTTTGCATGTTTTATCTTCAGTGTTTCCAGTGCTATTTTACTAGAAAACTCGCCTTGTTCTCTTATAATGGCAAAGGCGCCCACCTGAGAGGTGCCGGAACTGAAAAAAAGTATTTCTATGCTGCAATTCCTCCTGGTTTGCAATTTGCATTCTCATCTCATGTAATTAATTGCAGTGCTACAGAAAACAGGGCTGTTTCTTAAACTTGATCCTAAATTTAAGCATGTGGATTGACTTTACTGTTTACATACAGAGATCATTCGTGTTCTGATCTAAACAAAGAAAGATGTATTTAAATTTGAAATAGTAAGTAGAACCATGTACTTCCCTAAATTGCAGATATTTTGTATATGACTGCCCCCCCTTTTTTTAAAGAGAAAGAATTCTATGTAACACAGTGACTTGGAAATCAAGCGAAACGTTGAGTTCCTAGAATGAAACTAGTGACCACATTCAAGACAGCATTCAGCATTTCAAGCGTAAACCCCAGCTTAGCACACCGCTCATTTTCAAGAAAGCTGTAAAAATGTGTTTTCTGTCTTGAAGATTGAGACATCAGAATGAAAGCTGATGTCAGCATCTAGAATACCGTTCAGTTTTTCAAGTACAGGCCCCAGCTTGCACCCCCCCCTTGACAAAAGTCAAGGGTGTGCAAAATAGATTAGAATCAGCAGGGCTTTTTTCAGATGGAACTTGCCAGTTCCGACACCTCTCAGGTGGGCAACATTGCCATTATAAGAGATGTTCTCTTTTTCTAGAAAAATATCACTGAAACAGATGTCTGAAGTGGAGACTCTCAAACACAGTTCTTCACTAGTGCATAATGATTTCAAAATGTAATTGCATTTGTCAAGTGATAGTTACATAGAAACAGCACTTCTTAGGCAGTATGTTTTAGCTTACAATATGGGGAAGAATAAAGACCCTGTTTAAAATATTTATTGGTACACGGTATTATCTGAAAACGCATCTGATACGTGCTTTTTCTGAACACAGTTGTAGTGAGCAAAAGGATTCAAAAAGGTCTATTGATTCAACTGTCAAATAAATAGTACTCTTTAGTAAAAGCAATGTGACCAAAAAGGCATTTGACGTTTTATTCAAGTGGAAAAACTCTTCAGATTTATCCTAAGGATGAATGAATGGTTGAAATCAGTGGTGCTTTAGTTGCAATACATTTATCTCATTGATTGCCGCATCACTTGAGTACAGGTATCAGATTCAGAGTTAGTTAGCTTGAAAAGGTATGTGAAGGAACCCCAGCCCTAGAAACAAGTGTCTACATTTTGCAACTTGCCATAATATTTTGTTCCACAAAGAAGATGCCTGTGCCAAATACTTTTCCGGCTTATCCTTGCTGAGATACCATGAAAGCTCATGACATCCTTTTCAGTTACAATAGGGAGCAGTGCTTGTGTTTTTTTAATCCACCCTTTTGCAACAGACCAGAAACAACTTGAGAAGAACTTTCACGTTTGTTTACATTTACTTGAGTTTTTCAGTGGCTCTCTTACGTACGGTAATCGTTCTTATCGGAAACTAAATTAGCGTAGCATAAAATGCAACAAATATATTATCCAAGCATTTACAAAGAAAATGAAATACTGTTATGAGATATCACTAGAAAATGACTCTTTTCTTGTCCAGGCTTAATTCTTAATTATGTTTATGAAAAATTAAATATTTGGCAGCTTGACTCTGTATATTCAAAGTTACAGAACATACTGGATTGCTTTCATTCCTAATGCAATGAGAGAAACAACTGCAGTGGCAGTGAGAGTGCTGTTTTCAAAGTACTGAACAAGTGTTGTTGAAGTAAAGGTGCCTTCCCCCTAAAGGACTGGAAGACTTGGAAGAAATAATTCACAAGCAGCTGTCATTGGTATGGCCTAGTATAATTATCTGAGATACAGCACAATAATTTTGTATTTGCTTAAGGTATGGTGGAATCCTCTATGCAAAAGTTGTGTTTGGTCATAATATAAGGTTTATAAGATACACACAAACTGCTTTCAGTGGTTTGCCATAAAGAACTTCCTCAGATAACTGTGTTAATAGGAAAGATTTGTAGACATTATTTGGACTACCTAAGGTATTTTGCAGCACAATCCTAAATGTCCCTACTCAGAACTAAGTTTCTGTGAATTCAGTGGCACTTACAGATAAGTAAGAATAGGACTGCAGCTCTACTGACATAAATGTTCATCTTTTGGACATCCCAGCAGGGGCTTCTCTCAGACCTTTTACTTGTTGAGCATGAAGGATGAAGACAGTTTCTGAGCATATCTGAATCCATTTAGAAGCTTCTGTACAAGCAGACTTGTGACAAGCAAGCTTCCTGATTACACAGAGGCTTCTAAGTGCGTTCAGTCGAATGCATGAGAATCTGAGGGTCCTGCACATGCCTGCATTAAACAAAATAAGCACATAAAGAGAAGGGGGACACACAGGAATTTTCAATTGTTGGATTCACCATGGGCCATATGGTGCAGCTGAACAAAAATAACCATTATTTATACAAATATACAAAAATAAACATTATTTTCCATCTTACTGAAGGTTTTGTTTCATTTCAAAAAATAAAGTTTCATTTTACAGTTTATTACTGTTTATATTCCAAATTAGATATATATGGGGGCACCAAAATCTTTTAAGTGCTTAGGGCCTCTGAAGGTCTTAATCCAGCTCTGATGCCCCCTACACATTTTTAACTTTTTCATGTTCAGGCAAATGTCTGAGGGGGGTTATTGTAGTAAAATATCAACATAAAAGAGATCCCCAAAGGCTATGGTTGTAAGTGCCACATTGACCATTCCACATTGCGGCTGCTACATAAAGAGATTAAGGTGTTTTCTATAGACATTTGCAATACTAATTGTAGAACTATTCTCTGATTAGCCACCAGTTCACCATTCAAGAGATTTTTCTGTCTCAAGTGACACACTAACCATGATTACTGGTCGGTATTCCTGAGGGCTCATCCACTTCCATTTGCCCCATCATTTTCTCCTGGGGAAACCTGTGGTTTAGTGCTGAATTGGAACAAACGACAATCGGATTTTCAGCGGATTGCCGTTGGTTCCGATTTAGTGCTAAATAGCGGGTTTTCCAGGGTGAAGTGGAGGGGCAAAGGCAAAATCTCTCGGACAAGCACAAGACAAAGGAGAAAACACTCAGGCCCGTTCGAATCCACACAACAGGGTGAGCTCCTGTTGCTCTGTCCCAGCTCCTGCCTACCTAGCAGTTCGAAAGCACGCCAGTGCAAGTAGATAAATAGGTACCGCTGTGGCGGGAAGGTAAATGGCGTTTCCGTGCACTCTGGTTTCCATCACGATGTTCCGATGTTCCGTTGCGCCAGAAGTGGTTTAGTCATGCTGGCCACATGACCTGGAAAGCTGTCTGTGGACAAACACCACCTCCCTCGGCCTGAAAGCGAGATGACAGCGTGCCCCATAGTCACTTTTTACTAGACTTAACCGTCCAGGGGTCCTTTACCTCCCCCCCCTTCTTTTTTACCTAGACGAGTCCTGACATGCTTTTCACAACTCAGACAATGGCTATGACTGATTCGGCTAATGAAAAAGTAAATACGCATTTGACTGTATTTATGTGTGTTGTGGCCAGGATCCAAAGAGCCACTTAAGACACACTCATGAGCTTAGGTGTACTTAGAGGGAATTCCTCCCTCCCCCTTGCTGTTTTCCTTTGAAAACACATTCAAATGTGGCTTGTCGTGGACATAGCAGGATGGTGTCCGAGAAGAAGATGACTCTTCCACCAGGTATTGAACAGGTTTTGCATATCAGCTTTATATTTGGAGCTACAGTAATCAAAACGTGCTTTGTAATCCTGTTACCTTTAGTTCTTGTCTTTATTGACTTGTTATTCCCGCATACAGCTGGGCTTTTGCAACTTTCTAACTCCAGAGATCATTTTCCACATTGTTGTGCTTGCCAAAGCAATGTGCCCTGAGCATATGGCATAGTAATCTGATGTGCTGCAGAGAATTCTGGGATATGGCTTCAGGTGCAATCTCAGTTCCCACAGATTGTTGGCCAAGTCTTATGAACTGAACATGCAAGCTTGGTTAGACCACACTTGTGCTATCTACTTCATTTTTTACTGCAACCCCACCCACCACCCAAGCCAGGTGTGAAATAATGGCTTGGGAGCAGAGCCAAATTCAAAATGGTGACAGACTATCTTCATCTGCATGTACAAATGTGTATCTACATCAGGGGTCAGCAAACTTTTTCAGCAGGGGGCTGGTCCACTATCCCTCAGACCTTGTAGGGGGCCGGACTATATTTTGGAAAGAAAAAAAAAAAGAACGAATTCCTATGCCCCACAAATAACCCAAAGATGCATTTTAAATAAAACGACACATTCTACTCATGTAAAAACATGCTGATTCCTGGACCGTCTGCGGGCTGGATTTAGAAGGTGATTGGGCCAGGGCCAGCCCCTGGGCCTTAGTTTTCCTACCCATAATCTACATTGTAATGGATCAGTAATTCTGGTAGCTTTTTTGCGGGGAGGGGCATTTTGTTGTTGCTGTTGTTAAACGGAGTCAGAAAGCCTTGCCAATACACTGTAAACCACCAAAGGATCCTCTCTACCTGTAGGTATGCATGTATTTTTATCTGCAGTTAGATTAAATTGTGTTTATTGCTGTATAGGGGGCTGGACATTTAACTGGATTTATTTATTTAATGATAATTGATTCATGTATAGTGGCTGGATAGAGTGTTGATTTTTTTATTTTGGTCAATTGTGTTATTTAAAATTGTAGAATATATACTTTTTAGTTGATATGCATTTATAATATTTTACTTCCTGCTGCTTGGCTGTTTTATGTGAATTTTCCTTTGTACTTTTGTAGCCGATTTTAAGTGTACTGTAATGTTTGTTTGGATGCTGAAGAGGATCTTCCAGTTGTTCATTTTGTTTATAGAAGGTAGAAATTCTCTTACATTTTTTGTAGTTGTTTATTTCAGAAAGTTTTAACCTACTTTGTTAGAGCTTTGTTTAAATATAAGTGGCATATAAATTGTCCAGATAAAGAAAGAAACTAAATAGATCTCCCTGTATGTTCTGCCCAACCCTGGCCTAGAATACCACACAGGTATTCTGTCATACTACTAATATACTGGACTGTCTTCTATAGAGGATTGTTGCCTATGGAGGGACCACTGATCAATTGCAAGCACACATTTTGCAAGCACATGATGCCCTGACATCTAATAGTTAAAAGGGCAGAGAGCAGATCTTTCTGATACCCCGAAGAGCTTCCTCCAGTTGAAGTTGGCAATATTTTCTAGGCAAACAAATAGTGTAACACAGCTTCTCATGTACAACAATATACAAAATAGGTTGTTATATAGGTTGTTATACACACACACACACACACACAGTGCTATATAGGGGACGCGGGTGGCGCTGTGGGTTAAACCACAGAGCCTAGGACTTGCCGATCAGAAGGTCGGCGGTTTGAATCCCCACGACGGGGTGAGCTCCTGTTGCTCGGTCCCTGCTCCTGCCAACCTAGCAGTTCGAAAGCACGTCAAAGTGCAAGTAGATAAATAGGTACCGCTCCGGCGGGAAGGTAAACGGCGTTTCCGTGCGCTGCTCTGGTTTGCCAGAAGCAGCTTAGTCATGCTGGTCACATGATCCGGAAGCTGTACGCCAGCTCCCTCGGCCAATAAAGTAAGATGAGCACTGCAACCCCAGAGTCGGTCACGACTGGCCCTTTACCTTAAGGTGCTATATCTCTTATTTCCCTACTGATTGATATGACTAATCTTCTAGAACTTCTTAGAAAGATAGTCTAACCAGAATTTTAAGGAAACGGAGTCCCTTGTATTTTTATTTTGATAAGATAATTGGCCATCAAAACTGTCACATAAGAGAGAACAACACATTTTAGGCAAGGCAGTAAATCAGGCATAGGCAAACTCAGTCCTCCAGATGTTTTGGCACTACAATTCCCATCATCCCTGACCACTGGTCCTGTTAGTTAGGGATGATGGGAGTTGTAGTCCCAAAACATCTGGAGGGCCAAGTTTGCCTATACCTGCAGTAAATGGTGTCAAAGCTAGATTTGCTGCTCAAAGATGGCCTGCGACATGTTGGAAGATGCTCCACTCACACCCATTTCTAGGTATTGATAAATGAACTGCCAGCAAATTATTCCTGTTAATCTATTCTGTAGGATGGCTGTTTGGTGCCTCTCTTGCAGGATGTGTGGAATGCGGAGGTGGAAGCAGAGACAAGGGACTAAGTAGCTCAGGAGGCTTTACACAGGGAGACTCAGACCAAAGCATGAATGATTAAATGTTTGGCTGTTTGCAAAAAGTAGTGTTAGTAAATAAATTATTTCGTTGTATTAAAGCAAGTAACAATGTTTTGCTATGTTTACTAAGTAGTGGCTTAAGAGACTAATAAGCTTTCTTAGTTCATGGCTGCTTTATGATAGCATGCCAGCAGAGTTGATGTTAGGGGTAAAACTAATTTATCAGTAGTATATTACATATTGCTGGATTTTAGAATAGTTAAACACACATATACACACACACCATAAAAACACTGATACAGCAAGTTAGTACCTAACATTATTGTCATAAAATGTATGAACTAGAATTTATTTAAGTAAACCCATATTTAATTCTTCAAAGCAGATTTTGATCATGTCTAGAATTCAAAAAGTTGACTCTGGATCCTGGAAACATGTGGAATTTTGGATTTATATGACCTTTTAAGTTCTGTCCCCTAGTTCTTATGAGCTTCTTCTGATCAGCAAAAGTGGAGGCAAATGAAGTATGGAGGCCCTGGTATAAAAGGAAGAAAAATTAAGTGAAATCAATAGGTAGAAGTAGAAGACTGACAAGCTGATCTGTGGGTCTGGGCATAGTACCTTCCTATTAGCATTGCAAATCATAGTTTTCTGAGAGGTACAGGTTGACAGATCCAGGGACATTTGTTAAAAACAATCAGGACTGTGAGAACCAAGTGGCAATGAAGAAGAAAATGTGTAAGATGCAGTGGTAATGGGGCCATAAATTTCCTCGTCTCCTAAAGGCGTAAAACTCACAGTCTTAGAATTATCTGCACATGTATTTATTTATTTAGGCAATTTATGTACTGCTTCATAGATCGAGGGAATCTCTTAAGTGGTTTACAAAATTTGTAAAAATGACCACAAATGAAAAATACAATACAAAACCCATATTTTAAAGAAGCACAGAGGAGTTAGATAAGATCCTTTTAAGCATCAGTATAAACTAAAACTATTAACATCATGATCTTGACAGCCCAAAATACAGAAATGCAGCAAAGACAACGAAATTTTGCCACTTGATTTGCAGATCTGAAAAGGTTGATCTAGCCACATTTTTTGTTCTGACTTTTTTTCAAATAGTTCACAGTGATGTAAGCAGTACTTTTCTCTTTAGAACAATCCTGGAAGATTGGTTAGGCTGAGAGAAAGTGACTGGCTGAAATATATCCAAGTGAATCAGGCCTCTGGCCTACAGAAAACACAGGAGAACTTGATGTGATACGCTGGGAATAAGGAACAGTGTCTAAAACGAATGTGTCATTTATGTCTAATTAATATATGCATACAGGCCCTGCTGCCGTGCATTTCCGCCGGTAAGCGCAAATCAAGACAGCCAAAAACATAAGGCACTTATAAAGAAGGAAACAACCCCAGAGTATGGCCTGGAGGCAAATGAGGCCAGCAGCTTGCGGAAGCTAATAATGTCTGGGTCTGCCTGGATGTGCGATTGCCTGGAAGCCACATGTATGCTATCTTGGGTCCCATGACCAAAGAACGGAGGGATAAGAGTGCAAAAAAAAGAAGATAAAGTAAGTTTTCTTAGGGAAACAATTGTCAGTCTGTAGGATGCAGGGAGATTGAGGCCCAAAGAGCAAGAAGCAGGCTGCAAAGTTTTAAACGGGCCCGTGTTTAGGATAAAGGGTAAGTAGACAAGCATCTGGGAAGGCTGGAGTGAGCTGGCTGCCGAGGTGAGCATCATTCGCTGATGTCCTATTACTCCTACTGAGGCACCGACTTAGATTTTATAGGGCCTAGTGGGTTCTGATTGGCTTCTGTGGGTCAGCTGACAGTATCCAGGCCACTAGAGGAGCCTGGAAGGTAACCTTGGTCCACGGAGTTTAGTTGTCTGGCCTGCTGAGAATTCAGGATGCTGTTTGTGGAGGAAGGTAAGATGGGGGGGGGGGGGAGACCGTCTGCTAGAGGCCTGGGTTTGAGAGAGAGAGGGACACGCATGCCTTGCCTCAACCAAGCATCCTAATTTAAAAAATGAACAAGGCCTGAAAACAGTTTTTCAAAACAAGGGAATGAGAGGGAGGGCAGGCCTTTGCTACCAATTTATACTGGGCCACTCTGGTTCTTCCACAGTCACCTCCTTGAGGTGCTACTTTTCTCTTTGTAGGGAGTTTGCACTCAAGGAGGACCGTTCAAAAATGCAGGCCCCTACTTGCGGCCTGAATTAGCAGTACCATGTTGTGCCCCCCCCTCCCAGTGTGATTATTTTGAATATAGAGATTGGGACTTAGTGAGTGGGGGCGGGGGGGAGAGAAAGAGGTACCAAGGACTCAGCTGCAGATAAAATGTTCTGAATGTGTTGTAAAAAGTGCAATACACACTTGTGACACTAGACGGCAACTGTGAGCTATAGCAAATTCAATGCATTTTTCAAAAGGGTTTTTAATTTTTTTGTTTAAAAAAGCATTTTCGCAACGTTTTTAACACGTGTGTAGGTGTTGCACCCAAGTAAGCTGATATTTCAAACGCCATCCACAGGTAGTCCCAGAATCCACAATACAGTGGTACCTCAGGTTACATATGCTTCAGGTTACATACGCTTCAGGTTACAGACTCCGCTAACCCAGAAATAGTACCTCGGGTTAAGAACTTTGCTTCAGGATAAGAACAGAAATTGTGCTCTGGCGGCTCGGCGGCAGCAGGAGGCCCCATTAGCTAAAGTGGTGCTTCAGGTTAAGAACAGTTTCAGGTTAAGAACGGACCTCCGGAACGAATTAAATACTTAACCCGAGGTGCCACTGTAAAGAACTCTGGGAGCTTTGTATATTCCCCCAGCTGTACAGATTGAACAGAGTCAGTGCCTGACTTGTTTTCTCACATTATTCTATGTGTGTCAGAAAAGCATAGGTCAGGGAAACAGGACCTTGGCAGGGACAGACACACATAACCGTATTAATGGCCTATCACCGATGTGATCACCTCACCAGGAAACTAGCTTGGCTGATATTTTAACACTTGCTGGATACAGGGATTAGAGATGTCTCAGCATATGGCCTCCTGCCCCGCAACTCACAAGAAGATACTCACTTGCACATCTGCACTTGCCTACATGCATACAAGCTGTTGTGAGGGGGGGGGAATGAACCTCTCGCACCTACACCACCCTTGGCTTGGCCAAACATTTTGATGTGCAGCATCATTCACATACTTGTGCAAGCAGCTGCACTTGTGTGCACACAACTCACATTCGATCAAGATAACTTATCAAATATTTTTCATTCATAGCTTATTTTTAATTTATAGCTTATTTATGTAATACAGTAAGCCTGCAACGTATGCACATTTATGCACATTTAACATTTAAGTGCATGGCAAAAAATTAAAAAGGTGGTGAATAGGGGGCAGGATTCTGGGGAAAATGACTTTGGCAAATAACCCCCGTTGCTGAACACAATGAGTTTTGACTATACGTGATTTTGGCTTTAGGTTCGACCCCCAGAATGTAACCCCCACATAGGTTGTGGGCTTATTGTAATACTAAAGGGTGTCAGAACTTCAAATTTCTTGCTTACGCCCTCCAAGGACCTCTTGCATAATCTCCCATTTTCTTGGAGTCACTTCAAGTTTCTCTTGACTGGCTGTGCAACAAAAGCATGAGTAATCAACCTCTCCGTTTTATCCATGAAACTCCAGTATCAATCTGTGAAGGTACATTGTGTAGTTGGAGGATGATGTCAAGGTCGGAGAATCTTACTGATGGAGAAAGCAGGATGCTACCCGTTGTGATCCAAGGACAAATGACTAGCAGTTTACCTATAGAAGCCACTGGATGTCACTGTTGCTTTGTATGCCTCTTGTGAAATGAAGTTAGCTTAGTACCGGAATGAAGAAAACATTTCTTTTAGCTAGAAGTTCAAGTCAAAGGTGAACCACACACTCATGCATATTATGTGGGAGTATGCTCCATTTAGTTTCCACTGTTTTCAGCGTGGGTTACAAGCCATGCAGTTTTGTGTTAGATTCAGAATTCTGGAGAGAGTTTTATTAGAGCTATTAGGCTTCCTCAAAGCTATATACAAAATATTGCTTTGTTATCAGAAACAAGTTTCCCTGATTAGTTGAACAAATAATTTTGAGAGATTGCTATGCACAGATTGTGTGTCCTTGTGATAAAATTTAATGCATGCACCAAACACGCTAGGTACGCTTTCATGCCATATGCAGATAGCCAGTGCTTGCACTGTGACTTGGTTGTCTGTGAAAAGAGCACATGACAACGGTGTGTGCATTTAGTGGAAGTGTTTGGTAAGTTTTTGTGATTAAAGGTGGGATGTGGAAGTTTGCATAGTTTTGTTTTCAGTCTTGAAGCCTTTTGTTGGTATTTTGGTAAGGTCACCTGTGAGATATAACACAAAGTAATGGCACAGAAGTGCAAGTTGCTTGGCCTGTGTTGCAGAGAACTGTCTTTGCAAAGATGCAGAGAGGCATCCTGTTTTATTAAATTCCATTGTGTCGCCTCTGTTGTTTGAAACCCATAGAAATGAAACGTTTTCCTGTTCGTATGGCACAGAGTACTTTCTTCTTTCTATGAATAATGATGTGCCAGTAAGGGAAGTGCCATATGGGATAGGTTATGCAGTGTTAATAACTACAGAAGAGTGGCCCTTATTCCTGGTAAATGGCATGCCCTGAATATACAGTATGCAATAAAGGCCATAAACAGAGTCCTAGAATCATAGAATCATAGAGTTGGAATAGACCACAAGGGCCATCGAGTCCAACCCCCTGCCAAGCAGGAAACACCATCAGAGCACTCCTGACATATGGTTGTCAAGCCTCTGCTTAAAGACCTCCAAAGAAGGAGACTCCACCACACTCCATGGCAGCAAATTCCACTGTCGAACAGCTCTGACTGTTTTATTGTTCTGAGTGACAATAGTATGTAATTTGTAGACCGACAGAACAAACTTGCCAAGAACTTGGCCATCTTCAACTTTAGATGAACCAGGATCTGTAACTTGTACAAAAGGTTCTTTTGTGGGTGAGTGGAGGAGGAAGGGAGGTAGAGAAGTAGAGCACAGTGTCGCTATGGATTGTTAAACCAAAATGGTCCACAACTTGAGCTGCCATTAATCAGTTAACTCCACTCATCTCTTGTTCCAATAAGAAAAAATTTGCTAGAACTTTTAATATATTTTAAAACATATTTGCATTTCCTCCACGATAACTTGTGTGAAACAGACATTGGGACAAGCCTACGGTAGGAGCAATAGTTTTGTCATGATTTGCAGTAATACAGTAGGCTTATCCTAGCAGCTAGGTTCTAGGAAGTGACTGTGGCGTAGCAAATTAGCACATCATGCTAATTTGGAAGCACTGCCCAGTTCTAAGAAATGCAGTTAGGAGTGATGTCTTCATTTCATACTGTGCCGAGTGAGCGTCTTAAAACAGGCCACAGAATGTTGATGAAACCAAGGTGGGGCTTGAGTTCTAAGAACGCTGAATTGTCTACCAGTTTCGGCTGAGAGGAAGGGTGAAGCTGGATTTATGATAAACTGTTGAAGAGGCCAAGCCGAGGAAGGAAACGAACTCATCTTTTGAGTCCCTCAGTGACTGTTGTTGGGACCTGTGCTTTTTTACTTGTTCATATGATGTAGAGTTATGGGTGAGCACTAGGTAACCAGGTTTGCTGGTGACACTCAGTTGTTCAATGTGGTTAAAGAGATTGTGATGACCTACAAAGTGATTTTTCTCAACTGGGTGAATTGGCAGTAAAATGGAAAATGCAATTCAAATTAAGCAAGTGTGAAATGAGATGCATTAGGGCAACATAAAAATATATATCGTAATTTCACAAATACACTAATGAGATCTGAACTGGCAGTGACTGACCAGGAATGGGGTCATAGTGGATACCCAGATGGCCCCAGAGGCAGCAGTGAAAAAGTCAAATTAAATGTTAGGGATCATATGGGAAAGGGATTGAACCCCCCCCTGCAAATATCATAATGCCAGTATACAAATGGTGAGATCAGATCTGGAATATTATGTAACGTTCTGGTAGCCTCATCTAAAAAAAAAGGGAGGGCATTTGCAGAGCTGGAAAAGGTTCAGAAAAGGACAACCAAAATTGGAGGGGATGGAGTAATTCTCTGAGGAAAGGAATGGTCACAGCATTTGGGGCTTTTTAGTTTAGGAAAAGAGCACGGAAGGGGGAACATGTTAGAGGTTTATAAAGTAATGCATGTCGTGGAGAAAGTGGAAAGGGGGATGTTTTTCTTCCTCTCACTAATACTGCAATTTGGGGCCATCGGAAGAACCTGAATGTTTGAAGATTCAGGACGGGGCATGTGGGGAGTACTTCTTCAGACAGCGAATAGATCAACAATGGGATTTCTTCCTCAAGATGTAGTAATGGCTGCTAACTTGGATGGTTTTAAAAGAGGATTAGACAAATTCATGGAGGATAGAGGTATCATTCTGTACTGGCTATGTTGGCTGTGCTTTCCTTCACTGTCAGAGACAGTGTGCCATTGTATATTAGTTTCTGGGAATTGCAAATGAGGAGAGCGCTGTTGAGCTCAGGCCCTTCAACCACATACAGTGAAATTTTGAATTCTTACAAGCCAAAGGTAATTCTATGGATCATTTGGTTGACTCCTATCAAAATTGCTAATGGTTGAAAAAAGATTGGAAACCATGACAAACAATAAGGTATCGAAGGCACACTGTAGCCTTAGCGGCTTTGACAAGTGATTGTTAACAAAATTGTTTTTCATTGGGTCCTCTCTTCTTTAAATCTGCCACCAAGATTCATTTCTTGAATGGATCTTGCTCAAAAGGGCCAGTCAATCATATCAAAGGCTTTTCCCACATCCAACCCTTAATGATTTTTCTGACTGTTGTAGCAATCGTAATGGTAATGTACTGTGCTACATGCTTTATAATTTTTAATTGTATTTTATAGCTGCTTTTATTTATTACGTTATGCATTAGCATTTCATGTGAACTGAACCTGCATGTTACTAGGAGAAGAATCAAGCCAATTCTCCCCATCTTCCCTTTCCTTCCCCCGCCAACTGACACTTAATATTCCTTGGCTCCTGGAGGCCACATTGGGCTGTGTTTGTGCATTATTATTATTATTATTATTATTATTATTATTATTATTATTATTATTATCTTATAATGCATACATTTCTGCAGACCTGGGGTGTTTTCCAGAAAGGGAGCTGCATCCATGTGGCCAACAAGAGCCTTTGTGACATTAGAGAAGATCCTGCATCAAGAGAAAGATCAATAGACTTTGCAAAGGTGACGACTTTCATGACCCATTACACAACTGCCTTTCTAGTTATAATAGATTTTAGAGAAACCTCGAGTCCTGAAAAGATGCTCATGAAGCCCATTTAACTCCAGTCACAAGCACATAAGCTCCTGTGCATTTGGGATTTTGATTGGTCATCATTCCAACGTTCTTTTGAAAAGCCAGCAGAATTCATGTATTAGTAGTTATGAAAAATTGCCACCTTCCTGTTTGCTTTTGGGCTGGGAGTTGTATTTTTGTTCTTGACTCCATTGGGCCTTTTCTTTCCTTTCAGCATCTCCTTCTGCTCTTGTAGCACTTATGTCATCAGTAGTGGCTGCTGCAGAATCTTTAATGCTTTGGTGCCCCCTGTTGCTAGCTCTTCTGTAGAGATACTCAATAAAATTATCCATAAAATGATTGCAGGGACATTTAAAGATCCAGCAACTAAAACATAGCCACAAAACATTTCCTGCTGCAGCGCATTGTAAAGCTTGCTTCATATGGGAATTAATTTCCATTGATGTTAACCATCTTTTTGTGATCAGTCTGGATTGCAAAAGTTAACTAGCATGGGTTGCAGTGCTTAATTTCTTCAGAGAGCTTTCCCCCCTTAATCTTAGAGGCATCCCCATCTAACTTGCTAACTCTGCCTCCCTCACCGTAAGAAGAGTGAGGATGCACTAGGCTGGCTTAGGAGGGAAACAAACTCACCTCGCACCAGCTCAGAGACACTCTTTATTACAAAGTTCTGGGACTGACATTCAGAACATTTTCTGAGCGTTGGTTCAGCTACAGAACCTAAGTCCTTGTTTTCTCACAAACATTCATGTATGCTTTTAGTTATGGTGGGGATTCAAACCATTTCACACATGATTTCTGATCCTTTGATTGCTCAGTGCTTGAGCCTTTTACAAATGTTCAGTCTGAATAGAACAAAGGTCCATATAGTTAAAGTTATGGTTTTCCCAGTAGTGATATATGGAAGTGAGAGCTGGACCATAAAGGCGGCTGATTGCTGAAGAATTGACGCTTTTGAATTATGGTGCTGGAGGAGACTCTTGAGAGTCCCATGGAAGAAGAAGATCAAACCTATCCATTCTTAAGGAAATCAGCTCTGAGTGCTCACTGGAAGGACAGATCCTGAAGCTGAGGCTCCAATACTTTGGCCACCTCATGAGAAGAGAAGACTCCCTGGAGAAGACACTGATGCTGGGAAAGATGGAGGGCACAAGGAGAAGGGGACTTCAGAGGACGAGATGGTTGGAAAGTGTTCTCGAAGCTACCAGCATGAGTTTGACCAAACTGCGGGAGGCAGTGGAAGACAGGAGTGCCTGGCGTGCTCTGGTCCATGGGGTCATGAAGAGTCAGACACGACTAAACAACAACAACATGCAGATGTGGGAGGGAAGGAACTGACCAGAAACTAGAGCCCTCACCACAATAATTGAATATCTGAAGGGAGCCCATGCATGTAGGTTCTCTTTTGAGTTCAAACAAGCATGCATGCATTTGGGGCCGTCCCCGCACTCCCAACACACATTCATTCTACACAGATTGGACTTTTGTAGAGGGTTTGGATTACTTGCCTTTATGAACAGACACCACTGGAAAGCACTGTGGTTGGGATGATGTCAGGAAACAGGAAAGCTGAGTTCTGTATGTTGGGTTTGATCTGTGGTAGCTGTTCCACCCATGCAGATAACCACTCAATACTGCACTGATCAACAGCAGCATCAACAAACCCTTACTGATGGGAACTTGCAATAAGAAAACACAATAAACATCTGAACATAAGAACACAAGAGCCCTGTTGGATTAAGCCAGTGGCCCATCTAGTCCAACATCCTGTTCTCACAGTGGTTACTCAGATGCCTGTGGGAAACATGCAAGCAGGATTCAAGCAAGCAGGATTCAAGCACAACTCTTGTAGTTTCCAGCAGCTGGTATTCAAAAGCATCATTGTCTCCAACTGTGGAGGCAGAACAGTGCCATCATGGCTAGCAGCCATCGATAGCTCTCTCCATGAATTTGTCCAGTCTTCTTTTAAAACCACCCAAGTTGATGGCCATCGCTGCCTCCTGTGGAAGAGAGTTCCATAGTTTATGTGCTGTGTAAAAATACTTCTAAAAAGAAAAATCTGTACTGAATCTTCCAGTATTCAGCTTCATCAGTCCTAGTGTTACGAGAGAGGGGGGAAAACCTTTATCTACTTTCTCCCTGCCATTCATAATCTATCAAGTTAGATTATGCCTTTTTTCTAGACTAAAAATCCCCATATGCTGCAACCTCACCCAGTTTTACAATATCCCTTTTAAGTTGACGTGACCAGAACTGTACACAGCATTCAAATGCGGTCACACCATAATTTGTATAACAACATTATGATATCTGAGACCTATAAAGACCTATTTGAGGACTCAAACAACCACCAGAAGAAAGGCTTTTTAAAAATGTTTTTTTTAAAAAAAGTACTATAAAGAATACACACCACCATTCAGCCACCTCTTAATTATCTTAAACTAAGAAAGTGATACCCCTTAATGAGAGATAATGGAGGAAAGCTAATTCCTTTTACTTCCACAACAAAAAGCCCCTGGGCCTATTTATCTGCAGTTTGGCAGCCTCGATTCACTCTGGAGTGTTTCCTGTGCCTGTAAATTTCATCAACTTTGGCCAAAAGGAAAAAAAAAAACCATAGCCATTTTTAGATTTTGCATTATACAGTGCTTTGCTTTATACAGAGTGGCTCAGAACTCGAAACACAGTTCAAAGTGGAGAGAAACACAGATTGTTGTTGTTGTTGTTTTAATGCATAGGGTCTGTGTATACCACTGGTATATATCCTTAATTGTGAATAGCCAATAAAAATTGTATATGGCGGATGAAGCGGTGGGATCCATCTCTCTAGTGGGCATCTCTCTCCCTTCAGTGAAGCCTTTTTCTTGTTGCAGTGCATAAGTTGATGTTCGGGTTTCAAAATTAGAAACCCCATGTTACAAAGAGATGAATGGCTCTGTTATGCAGCGGAGATTAGCCTGAATGTTACTCATTACCCTCTGGGGCTGAGGCAGGGGGGAATTCATAATGCTTTATATGCACTGTGGATTACTTGACTAGCACCTTGTTGCCTAATGGTTTCCATGACTCATAAATGCAGAATATATACTTATAACAGAAAAATTGCATTATTTCCCCGTTTCTTTGATGCCATTATAAAATGTGTGATATTTAAATACCTAGGCATTTATAACAGAGTCATATATTCAGTAGGGTAGCATCTGAGCACCTGGAAAAAGAAATATGAGTACAGGAACAATAAGAAATCACTAGGCATTACAAATATTTAGAGACTAGTCTCCATAGAGAGCATATTAGCTGTATAAACTGCCAACAGCAGCAATAGGAGAGAGCAGATTAAACAGCTGTAAAATGTGGATGGTGAGCACAAACTGCATATTAGGAATTGAATAGCTATCTAGCTGTACTTATCAGAACTAGATAAACCACCATTCCATCTACTGCAGTGCTGCAATTAGCTACATTATGGTGGCATGTAGATCCCAATTTTTCCATTGTGATGAGAACAGTCTCGTTGACTTTCTTTCAATATCCCTGTAACTCATACCAGGCTTATGAACTTACTGGGGAAATGGGGCATGCACTGCCCATGTTTCCAGTTGGAGGGCAAGCACCTGGTCAGCACCTTTGAGGATGCTCTGCAACTTTTGTTTTACACACCACACTGGGAGCTTACATTACACAGCAGCAAACAGGGTTTGCTGCCTGTGGTACATCGAAGAGGGAGAAGAAGGCAGTCAGCATGGTGCTCTGAAGACTGCGTTTGTGTGATGCTTGTGTGTTCACATACCACTTTGCCACATTCATACATTATGTTTCTAGGCGCCTATTGTAAAAATCCTATGTGTCACACCTCAGAAATGTCATGTGTGTAGAAGCCCTTAGAAGGCATGCATAGCTGAGTGGCAGAGCACGTGCTTTGACTGCAGAAGGTCCCAGGTTCAGTCCTTGGCATCTGCATTAAAGAGGTTAATAGCAGGTATTTTGTCTGAGACCTGGAGAGCCACTGCCAGCCATAGGCAGTACTGGGGCCAAATAGATGGCAGCTCCAATGTTCCCATGATGGCCAGTTTCTGAAGCAGCCTCCCTAGCTATTCCTTTAACAGCAATTTAATCTGCAGCAATTGCAGGTGACGATCACATTTAGCTCCTAGTCACAAAATGTAGACCATACTGGCTATAAAAAGCTTCACCTGATCATTTCTGCATATCAAAACCCTTCTTAAAGGGGAAGGAACAGGCTAAATCAGGGAGGTTGTGCATAGCCAATTGGTAAGCTTGCCAGCTTACCTGAAAAGGTCTCCCTGTTTGTTTTCGGCTGGTATCAACTGTGCCAAGACGTGTGGGCAGTCTAAACCACGAGCTGCTGTTCCAAAGAGAATGTTTTAATTAAAGTGTCATGTTGCAAGAGGTCTAGCTAAATTCACTGAGCATGTTTGCCAGCACCAGAGATTCGGAGCAACTTTTTAATGCACTGATGAGTTTTTCCTCTGGCTAGAAAGGGAGGGAGAGAAGTTCTGTGTAGTGTTTCCCTCACAAAAAAAGACAAATTGCTGCTTCTCTCTCTCTCTCTTTTAAATGGTTGGCAAGGAGACTCCTGTCTGCCTGGGCACTTCCTGCTTTCATTAGCATAGCCCAACCCACATCGAACAAACGCCCAGCACTACCTCATTTTAATGCTGGACCCAGGCCAAACGTACAAGCACTACACTGAATATAAGGAGGAGAACGACTGCAAAGAGAACCATAAACTGTCATAAGGCTAGACCACATCTCTGGCTAGGGCAGAAAAAATATTGTGCTGAACATGAACAGCCTTTTAGATAGTTTGCATGGTTGAAAGCAAAACATACTCAGCAAGGTTCTGACACTGGAAGAAAGGAGGGGAGGGAGATAAAAGAACGGGTGTTTCTTTTACAGATCTGAAAGTACAGTATAACCTGACAGAAGAATAAGCGAATTTCATACCAACTGGGTGCAGTTCAACAGAGGCAGTGTTTTCTCCCCCCCTTTTCTATTATTATTTTCTTCTGCTACAGAAGAAGGAACATTGTGAAGGAAAGGGGTAGTGGGAACACAGCATGGCAGGGGCCAAGCGAAAAGGAAAAAATGCCATCTGGAGAAAGATCCATGCACTTCGCTACGAAGACTTCAAACTGTGGTGTGTAAGGAGGCTCCCTGTTCTGGAGTGGGCGCCAAACTACAACTGGAAAGCAGACCTGCTTCCTGACACAATTTCTGGGATGATGCTGGCCGTTCAGCAGGTGACTCAAGGTACTGTGCTGGAAACGGGCTCCGATAGCTGTTTAGCGTACAGGTTGAACTGCTCAAGCCTGTGCTTGTCTCCTACCAGAACTGATTTTCCCCATCCCCTTTCCTTATCCTTGACCCATTCGGTGTAACTTACAGCAGAAGCCTGCGTGTGTTTACGTGGAAGTAAATTCCGCTGTGCTCGAGGGGGCTTGCTCGCAGATTAAATGTGCCTTAACCTTGCTGAAATAAATGGGCATTTCTCACCTTGAACATGCAAGCACACAACAATACTAATATATGTTTGGCAGCATTTGTGTGTGCATGTACATACAGCATATAAATTGGGTGCCATCCGACGGCATATATAAGAGCGATTCTTGCTTGTCTCCTTTAAAAAATAATTATACCTGTACAGAGAGGTTTACTGCTACTCACGGCAGAACCCTTTAATTATGAAGTGAAATTCACAGTACAGATCTATGCATGCTGATGCAGAAGTACATCCCACTCTGTTCAGTGGGGTGTATAGTAGGATTGTAGCATTAACCCTTTACTAATCTATCTGCTTTTACCTTCCTTTGTTGGTTGTTGCTGTGCTTTATTGCACAATGTTTGCAATGAGAACAACACACTTATACTGACCTACCTTACAGGGTTCTTGTGAGGATTACTGCTTACCAAGATAATGGTTGTGAAGTATTTTGAATGCCATAAACTGATACGTAAATGCTAAGTATTATTATAATTATTCTATGAAAATCTAGCAATTCACCTTGAAAGTAGCATCTTTCTCTTCCCCTGCTCCTATGAGAGAACAGTGAAGAGACAGACAAGTATTAGCATTACCCCCTAGTGTTACCTGCTACTTCCTTGACAGCAACAGCCAACAAGCCACAAAGAGTTTAGCACATAAAATAGTTCGTTACATGTTTATCACAGTAGCCAAAATTGTGGCCTTTTGCAGGCATGTTTGTTTTCTGAGATGTACTGTAAATTGCCATTGAAAGCTGTAATAAAAATCAGGGGGGAGCTCCAATTTAGTTTGGTTGCCATAGGTGCAAAGAAATCTCCCCCTGGCTGATCCCTGGGGGGGGGGAAACAGATGTGAAAAGTACAAAATTACCTAAATAGTTTTTGAAGAAATTAAGGTTTCTGTCATGTTATATATGACATTTCAGAGAAATTCCCCATTCAGTGAATTGTGATAACAGCTGAAAGATCATTCAGAGGCAAACATTTTGTGATAGCTGTTCTTTTACAGATTCCCTAACAGCTAGCCTTAGTCCTTCATTCATGCATTGAAAATTATAAGTGCTCCTTTAATTGAATTATTCTGCAGCTGGAACCAACCGGTTTGTGTAAGTATTTATGCTTTTGGAGTAATTAGGAACATCTGCGCTGGCATGATTTAACTTTAAAGACCTTAATACTGTAGTACTGTAAAGGATCTTGTTTCACTGGTATACTCATAGACAACAATTGCAATTAAAACACAGCTAACAATGGTATGTTTGAAGCCAACCAAAATACTGAATTAAGAGGCAGGCAAGAGTAGGTGGTACTTTTCTCCAGCCTTCTTTTTTGGATTTCCACAAAAGAGTTTTCGGACTTTATTGGCTACAGCTTAGAATACACAGGTGATGCTAAAGAAAACTACCATTTCCATTACATAACAAGCTGCCTTTACATCAGGTGAGACCATTGATCCAATGAGCCCAATATTTTCCCGTCAGCAGTGGCTCCCCAGGGACTCAGGCAGAGGACTTTCCCCCATCACCTGCCATCCTGTCCATCATATCTAATATAGTGGAGATGCCAGAGATCTTCTGCGTGTAAAATAGGTGCTCTGCCATGAAGCTATGGCCTTGATTATATTAATAAAACAAATATAAGAACATAAGAAAAACCCACTAGATTATACCGAAGGTCTGTCCTGTGCATTATTCTCTTTCCACCAGAGGCCATCAGATGCTCACGAAGAGTTTACAAGCAGGGGATGAAGGTAACGGCATTCTCTAGTCTTTGAATCTCGGCACCTGTGAATGCAAAGGTATTCTATTTTGGAGCATAGTCATTCTTCCTGGCTGTTATTGCTAATGTAAGGTTACCAGATTTTTTTCAATGAACCCAGGGGCACTTTTCAATTGATTTTGTATGTGGACTGATTTGTAAATCCGGGGACTATCCCGGGAAACGGGGACGTCTGGTAACCTTATGCTAATAGTACTGATAGATCTCATTGAATTTGGCTAACTTCTTTTAAAGCTGCCTAAGCTAATGGTTGTCAGCATAGTATTTCATTTAGTCTTCTATAAACTTAGTACAGCAGCATTCTCTAGCTCAGGGCGTTGTTGGACTCCAACTGTCATCAGCCTCAGCCAGCATGGCCAGTGGTCAAGGAGGATGGGAGTGTGTGTGTGTGTGTGTGCGTATCTATATATTTATATATATTCATTCTCACCCAGTCTATTCTTAGCGCCTCTTCTGCTTGTGGCATGGGGGCCATTGCAGTGTGGCTGCTTCCTGTGCCAATCAGAATGTCAGAAGCCCTAGGTCATGTAGCAAAATCCCATGTGGTTGTAGTTTACAGGATAACATAGCATTGGGGCACCCAAATCTAGCTTTTCCTATGTGGCTAGGAGCTTCCAATGATATCATCATGATGTAGAAAGGAACCGCAGAAAATCATGAGGATCATACAAGAGGGCGAGGCTTTAATATAAAGCAGATTCCAATTAAGCTTCCATTTAAAGGAGATTCTACAATTCCCTAAGCAACTTATTCCATTGGTAACTGTTCTCTGAGAAGGAAGCACTCTCTTGGTATCTGCAGCCTACATCTGCTTTGATATTTGCTTGAATCCACAGCATAAATGGCTGTCTGAGCCATGGAATTATTCTGTTAACCAAACAGGTTTTGCCCAAGCGTTTCCTTCCGCCTTTTGACTTCAGATCATTACCTTTAAGGAATGTTCAGATGCGATTCTGTCAAGCTGTACTGTTCATTCTGCCCTGGCCCAGGATGATTTTGTTCCTTAAAAAACTTGTGCAATATCTAAATGCTAATGAGAGATTTGATACAAAAAATTGAGAAGGGGGACAGAAACAGATAGCATGGATGTTAATCCCATAGCAGACACACACAAAGAAGGGGAGTCAAACTGGAGTCTAAACTCTTCATTCAGAAGATGTCCAAGGGCTACACTCAGTTTTCAGTATTTGATTTGGGGTGTGGGAGGCAATAAAAGGACCAGTAGTTGATTACTAAGTACACTCGTTACCATCCAATCCCAATGTGCAAAAAAACTTTCATCAACCTCTGCTGCTCCTGATCACCAGTTTCCATCCAGTCCTTAAGACCTCCTTGCAGTTCTAAGTCCCCTATCATTTAGAGTGCTTCCATCCTGCAGTTTATTATGGAGTCTGCACTGTTTTGCATGCAAGTTTTGCTCAGCATCCATAGAATGTTGTCTTCATCAAAACGTTGCCCTGTGTTATTTTCCTATTTAACCATGATTTACGTGGAAAATATGATAAGAAAGCAAAACCTATGAAAATGGTCTGGATTCATTGAGGAGGTGTTGTAGGATATCATTTTGATGAGGATGGCATTGTGTGGAAATGGCAAAAAAAGAAGAATGTTTGGGCAGCACCAAAACTGCCCGGTGGAAGGGCCATTAAGCCCACGTACCACTGCTTGCCCTCCAAAATCCTCTTATACTCCAAAGCAGCTATCTTCACCAATCATGGCACCTAAACATCTCCTCCATTGGGTACAGACAACCGCTTCCTATCTCTTTTGGCTTCGTGTCAGCATATAGCCAATAGTGTACTCTCTATCCTTTTTGATGCTTGTGCTGCTAATATAAAAGGATGGCAGAGAGTTCAATGTTTAAGATATTGTAGTAATGGGCGCTATTGGTAGGCTAATCCTTTTGCTTCCTAACTATTCAGGCTATTCAGATGTGGAGAGCTAAGAGTGCCATAGTCTGCCATAGAAACTTTGAAGGCAGGAGGTTTACAGTCCAGCTTGGAGGTGTGAAACCTCAGGCGAGGGGTCAAATGCAGTCCTCCAGGCTCTCACTCTGGCCTTTGGAAATTTCTCCAGCTCACACCCTTCACAGGTTCTGTTTCACACCCCAGATATTTTTGCGTGGCTAGAATATGTCCTTGAGCCCTGCTAATGCCTCTTGCTTGTCTGAATGGAGAATAGAGAGGAGTGTGAGGATGTAGAAATGTCAGAGGTGAGCCAGCAGTACATCGCACTGTTCAAGTTGGAATTAACTCTTTATTAGCAAAAACCTGATCCACACAGGAGTGTCAAGCCTAATGAACAGAGCAACTCATCACTGGTTGGCCTTGTCCCCATGAAGCAGTTGCTGAGCAGCCCATTGAGATGTGTGGGGTATAAGTAGTTATGTAATAATAATAATAATAATAATAATAATAATAATAATAATTAATAAAAAATTAATAATAATAATAAAGGTATCCGCCTCCTCACAGCTGCCTAAGTCCCCTCCTCTCTGGGGTTTCCCCCCAAGCAATCAGAGTTTGCGTCTGCACATCACCAATCCCTTCTCCACCCCTTTCAAGCCCTTCCTGGTCCTGGGAGACCAGAGGGGAGGGGAGCTTGTCACAGCAGGAGGGGGAGACACCTGTGACCAGCCTGACTCATCTCTGCCTCTTGGCCTCTCTCCTCCTCTGCTTCAGCTTCTGCCTCTGATTCCAGACGTCTCTCTGCCACAGACTCTCACAGCTCACTGAGCCCTGTTACCCCTTCAGCTTCTGAACCTCCTCTTCCCTATTCTCCCTCTCACCCCTCATTGTCATCCCACCACCACTCCCTGGGCTCTGAGCCTTCTTCTCTTGGGGGTTCCCCAGCCGTTTCCTTCCACCTTTCTTCTGCATCCAACCAGTCCATGTCAAGAAACTAGCCTACTGTACAAAGGCAAAATTTACTTTTGTTGCTCTGGCCTCTTGCTCTGGCCCATGGCCCTTGGAAGATGGACCAGAAAGAAA